GCATTTTGGGGCAATCACCCACACTGATATTACTTTTGCAGTCTTCACCGTTCTTCCAGGATGTTTGAGTGATGCATGGTTGCAGCTTTGTTCATTTTGCATGTATTTTAATTCGTGTTATTTGTTCAGGCAATCGTGTTACATGTATCGATGTCGTGTCATTGTCGTTTTCATATTCATTGATTCAAACGATGGTTGCCTAATTAATGTCAACAAAGTATGTAGAATAACAATATCAACGATCCTCTCGAGTATCTATGAGGTTTTAATGAGACCATAACAATTAACTTTCATTGTGTCATTGATTACCAGTGTGTGAAAACAACTACAAATGATGAGCCACTATTAACTATCAATTCTGTTATATACGGTGGCCAATGAGGGACATGGAGTCTGTTTTTCAATATTTTGATGTTTAACTTACTTTTATCTTAACCTTTTGCAAATTAACACAATCTGCCATACAAATATGTGATAAATCATGTATAAAAACATCCGAAAACATAGAAAATGTACTTTTAAGTAGCTTTTGAGTCGCTGAAATGTGAAGTGAAAATGTCAAAAACTAAAATGGAAATGTCAAAAACCAAAACGAAAAGGTCAAAAACTAAAATGAAAATGTCAAAAACACAAAACGAAAATGTCAAAAACTAAAATGAATACACAGAAAACTATTTCCACCGCGGTGATAATATTTACACCGCGGTGATAATATTTACACCGGGGTGGAAATAGTTTTCTGTATTTTCATTTTAGTTTTTGACATTTTCGTTTTGTGTTTTGACATTTTCATTTTAGTTTTTGACATTTTCGTTTCGTTTTTCAGCGATTCAATATCTTCTTTACACATGATTTATCACATATTTGTAAGACAAATCGTGTTAATTTGCAAAAGGTTACGATAAATGTAAGTGAAATACCAAAATATGGAAAAACAGACTCCATGTCCCTTATGGGCCACCGTAGTTATATACGTGGCGGCATTAAACATATGGAAACGTTTTTCCAAGTTTCGCATTGACACATGTGACACAGGGGTGGACAATAGCAGATTTAGCACGACACCAGACCCCCATTTAGGGGTGAGTGAGTTTGATTTAACGCCTATATGAACTGTATTTCAGTTATTTCATTGCGTGTCATCTACATCTATGAGAAAAGCGTGAAATACAATTAGACGTTTACCACTTTGGTGTAACCCACGAGCACGGATATGTTGCAGACAAACCTAGAAACACAATCTCGGATTAGAACCTCATTTACAGGAATGTGCACACTTTGAACAATTTGAACTTTCACGTGCTTATGAAACATGAAAATGAGCACACAAATTCCTAGTTTAAGTATTTGTGACTGTTATCGCACCTATTATTTCTTAAAATGTGAGACCCGTGAATATTCCGGGGTAGAATAGGTCTTCAGCAACCCATGCTTGCCGTAAAAGGCGACAATGCTTGTCGTAAGAGGCGACTAACGGGATCGGGTGGTCAGGCTCGCTGACTTGGTTGATGCATGTCATCGATCCCAATTGCGCGGATCAATGCTCATGATGTCAATCACTGGATTGTCTGGTCCAGACTCGATTATTTACAGACCGCCGTCATATAGCTGGAATATTGCTGATTGTGGCGTTAAACAACAAACAAACAAACAAAAAATCAAAATGTTAATGTTTAAAATGATATTGTTATGCTCAAAAATGTTTCATGAATTGTTTTTAAATATTGTATGCTCAAAAATGGTAATGCAGTACTTGCCTCTGTGACATACAACTGTACAGTTCCCGTTTGGTGTCAAGATGTTTCTTCTTCAACTGTTTTGAAATATCTTACCTTACAAGCCCGAGTAGTCCCTGTCTATGTTCTTATTGTAATTTTATATGAATTTCGTGAGGGTTTAGTAACGTACAATGTATTTGGGAATGATATCATCATTCATTTATTAATACGGATTATCAACATGTAAAAGTGTGAAAAATACATATAACAAAACATGTCATGAGTCAAGGGCGTTAACTGACTATAAAAGTCAAATAATTGCCATTTTTTGTTTAAAACACCCAAATTAATTATTATCATCTTCGCGAGGCAAGGGCGTTAACTGAGTATAAAAGCCCAGTTTTCACCCTTGCCGAACAAGGCTGGAATTCCAGATTTACTCTTTGGCTGGACTAACGAGTCCATACATAGTCCAATCAAAATCGCGTAACGAGCTAGACATCCGGTTTGTAAGCAATATCTATTTAAACATGCAGATTTCAGGATTTGCAAAGCATGTGTACCGCCAACTGGGCAAGTGATTTGAGAGGTGGAATCTGATTGGTCAATACGAGGGACATAGAAGGGACATAACACGGAATAGCCACCAGTGGCGCTCCGATGGAGCCCGAAAATTTCAGCCTAGTTCGGCAAGGGTGGAAACTGGGCTTTTATACTCAGTTAACGCCCTTGCCTCGCGAAGATGATAATAATTAATTTGGGTGTTTTAAACAAAAAATGGCAATTATTTGACTAATTGTTTCCCCGACTTATGTAAAAGGCGACAATGCTTGTCGTAAGAGGCGAATAACGGGGTCGGGTGGTCAGGCTCGCTGACTTGGTTGATACATGTCATCGATCCCAATTGCGTGGATCGATGCTCATGATGTCAATCACTGTATTGTCTGGTCCAGACTCGATTATTTTACAGACCGCCGTCATATAGCTGGAACATTGCTGAATGCGGCGTAAAACAACAAACCAACCAACCAACCCGACTTATGTGCACTCATCTTGCATGCAGTGTGAGTAGTGCAGCCCCATGTTTACAAATAGCGTTATCCGCGATTGAGTGATATTCACATTTTCGAGTGAGTGAGTGAGTATGGTTTTACGCCGCTTTTAGCAATATTCCAGCAATGTCAATGTAGGGAATCGAATCCGGGTCTTCGGCGTGACGAGCGAACGCTTTAACCACTAGGCTACCCGACCGCCCTCACATTTGCGACCGATTGGGCATCACTTTATTGTACACGATGGGTGGTTGAAGTTTTGTGAACCTAACTACAAACGATATATAGTACACCCTTTACAGTTTGCATGTATTAAGTACAATACATATTAGGCAAGTATTTAATTGCCTTTCATTTCTGCAGGTAATTGCACATTTCATCAACCAACTAGGAGTGTGGACATGAGCACAGTACAGGTCGTCCCCAGGCCAGGGATATCAAGCGCCGATCGGTGTAAGGACGAATGTTTGACCTACACAGAAGCATCCGGGGAGTGTTGGGGCGTAAATTACGATGATTCGACGTGTACTTTCTACGTAGCCAGTGGACGTCTTCAACTGAAAAGTCCTGTATCTTCATCATCTTTCTACGTCAAGAAATGTTTTAAAGGTCGGTACTCCCTCAAAGAGACGATTCCAGTCAAAATTTACAGTCGAGAACAACCCTGTTAAGATCAAGTTAGAACACCTGGTGACATCACTGTAATTGGTGAAGAAGTCGCATCAGTGTTTGCTTGACTTCATTCATTTTGTTTGTTGGACCTATTTGGGGACTAAATGGTACCCGATTAAAAAGTTATGTAATAATTCTCCTTGATGTCTTATAATCCGTGGTGATTCACGTAGTGCTACATGCATGCTTGTCGTTAAGAGGCGACTAACGGGATCGGGTCGTAAGGACTCACTGACCTGGTTGATGCATGTCATTGTATCCTAATTGTGGAGATCGATTCTCATGATGTCGATCACAAATTGTCTGGTCCAGACTCGATTATTTACAGATCGCCTTCATATAGCTGGAATATTGCTGAGTGCGGCGTTAAACAACAAACAAATAAATATAGTGCTAACGTAAATGGAAGTTATCTTATCACAACACACATGCGGGCACTTATGTCGGTAGCAAAGGAAACCCAACTCAAAAGGTAACAAGGCATGAATCCATATTTGCTTGGAAGTTGCTTCATTTGGTGGATAGTTCTTCAGACAACTGGCTACAGGGACTGTCGGTCCGTTTAACTATGAAATATTCGGGGTGGGGAGGGAGGATTTTGTTAGTGTGTATCAGGGGCGGCCCGGTAGCCTAGTGGTTAAAGCGTTCGCTCGTCACGCCGAAGACCCGGATTCGAATCCCGACATGGGTATAATGTGTGAAGCCAATTTCTTGTGTCCCCCGCCATGATATTGCTGGAATATTGCTAAATGCGGCTTAAAACCATCCCCACTCACTCACTCACTCACTCACTCACTAGTGTGTATCGTTTCATATATTTTACGATCCAGTAATAGTTCTTTTTTGTGTTTTGTCATGTCCAACCTTTTCTTTAATAGTCAATTGTTTGATGGATTCCAGGAGAGTATGACGAGACACCTTTAGTTACCAGTGTAGCTGTCACACATGATCATATGGCTTGGTGCACTGAAGGGGAAGGTAATTGAAACCTCAACGTCAGAGAATACCAATCTCCGTTATCTGCCGAAACAGATTCCATTGGGTCTAAAAGACAAATAAGTGGTGAAAAGTATTTGAATGGACTGCCGAAAATCCGTGATACCTGGTGTCACCTGCCACTCGTAATGAACGCCAGTCATGGAACGTTAGAATGCGATTGACATATTCGCTATGAAAGTGATGCTGGCGTACTTCCTTCGGGGTCAAAGGTGGCCTAGTCGTCTAAGGCGCCGCATTTCACTATGCAGAGTTCCGTCCCTTGGGCACACCAGAAACCTATGATTGTGGCTTCGAATCCCGGTTCGCCATGATTATGTTTCTAGGTTTGTCAACAACATACCCGTGCTTGTGGATTTCACCAAAAGTGGAAAACAACTGAGATCTGCATTACTTCGGGCTTTCCTCCCATATTAAGCTGACACGCCGTGATATGACTGGAATACTGTTAAAAGCGGCGTTAAAACCAATTTAAACACACATACTTTATTGTCTTCCCATTTCTCACTTTATAACGAATAAATGCCATTTCAATTTACTAATATCTGCGTCTCTCCTGCAGCCCTGACTACAACCACTACCCCTGACGCAACCCCTTCTCCCGACACAAACGCTAGTCCCGACGAAAACGCTACTCCCGACACAAACGCTACAACTGACACAACCGTTACCACTGTTACAACCACTACACCCGGCACAACCACTACTCCCGACACAAACGCTACTCCGGACACAATCGCTACTCCAGACACAACCACTACTCCAGACACAGACGCTACTCAGGACACAACCACTACACTTGACACAACCACTACTCCCGACACAAACGCTACCCCTCACACAACCGTTACCACTAAGACAACCACTACTCCCGGCACAACCATTACTTCCGACACAAACGCTACTCCGGACACAACCACTACTCCCGACACAAACGCTACTCCGGACACAACCACTACTCCAGACACAACCACTACGCCCGACACAAACGCTACTCAGGACACAACCGTTACCACTAATAAAACCACTACTCCCGGCACAACCACTACTCCCGACACAAACGCTATTCCGGACACAACCACTACTCCAGACACAACCACTACTCCAGACACAAACGCTATTCCGGACACAACCGTTACCACTAATACAACCACTACTCCAGACACAAACGCTATTTCGGACACAACCACTACTCCAGACACAAACGCTACTCTGGATACAACCACTGCTCCAGACACAACCACTACTCCAGACACAAACGCTACTCAGGACACAACCGTTACCACTAATACAACCACTACTCCCGGCATAACCACTACTCCCGACACAAACGCTATTCCGGACACAACCACTACTCCCGAAACAAACGCTATTCCGGACACAACCACTACTCCAGACACAAACGCTATTCCGGACACAACCACTACTCCAGACACAAACGCTTTTCCGGACACAACCACTACTCCAGACACAAACGCTTTTCCGGACACAACCGTTATTCCTGACACAAACGCTACCCCTGACACAACCGTTACTCCTGACACAACCACTACTCCCATCACAACTCCTTCTCCCAACACAAACGCTTCTCCCGACACAAACGCTACTCCTACCCAGCTGCATGGCGACACATCTACGTCTCCTGGCACAGCGGGGACTGCAGCAGCGGATGGACCAACAGTTGACACAAATGTACAAGCAACGACAACTTCTCACGTTGGTATGTAGTCGTTTACTTCAGGTTGATTATCCAGTTACATGTATGAATGACTTTTGAGAGTGCATATGTTGTTTTACGCCGTTGCCAGCATGCTTCCGTCACGCCGTCCTGAATGTAGTTCGTCCTGAATGTAGTTGAGTCTTGTGAGGTGAGGTGAGGTGAAATGGGGTTTAACGTCGCGTCCAACGATTATTGCACTTATATAGCGACGTGCATGTACGTATGTGTGTTTGTGTGGCTGCTTGTACTAGTCCGGACTGATGCCGATTTATAGTGCTAGCTCACTGAGATACCATGCCGCAGTTTAACATGAATACCCCACTCAGACACAGTATACTGACTCCGGGCCGACCAGTCCTTGTTTTAGCCCCTTAATGGATACAGGGTAACAACAAGTACCATCTTTTAACGTCTTTTGGTATGTCGGGGATCGAACCCCGGACCTTCCGCTCTCCGGGCGGACGCTCTACCACTAGACCACGGAGGCGGTCTTGAGTCTTGTACAGGCAAACCAGTTGATGACTGCATGAGCAATTCACTCACTCTTGTTCGCTCAAACATCGAAGCTCATCATTTTCAAGACCAAATCATTGTGTTTATTTGATATAGGTAAGATGCATACAATACACATATCACCAGACATGGACTTATCAAATATCATTCTCTGTGTTTGCAGATGCCCCGAGTCGAAGGTGGTTCAAGCAATGTTCTTGCAACTGCGAATTATCAAACAAAACTTTGAAGGAGAAAATTGAAAAAATAATCGTAGATTTGACAATAGACAAAACAAAAACATCCAAGAGTATTCGAAAGAAAATCAGTGTCCCTGACAATAGACCGAGTTCTCAAAGCATCGGCGCCCTTGGTATTGCATTCCTTGTTGCCACCGGCGTACTGTTTCTTCTTGTCGATGCCAGCTACCTTTTCCAACTTATAAAAGGACGAGAAAGGACAAATGTCCATTTTAGCCCACTGGAAATGTCAACGTTTAAGTGACGGAAAACTCTGTAATTATCGTATCAGAATCTTCATCTGTTCAACTGGTTGACCACAAGCCTTTTATCTTTCTTACAAATTTGTTTTTCCTTTTGGCGTGTTCAAGTACATCTTATAGTGCAAACCATTTCAAAACTTCTTAAATACCTAATTGGTTCAATATGTTTCCAAAAGCACCGAAATTCTATGCCCTTTGTCTGTTTTAATATATTCATCAAACATTCGGGGTATCCCCTCTTATCATAAGCCCCCTCCGGGCAGTACCCTTAATCTCAAGCGCTATCTATAAATGCCAGTTAACACCTTGAGCTTGCCCCACGTTATGTAATTCCTCTATGGACAAAACCTGACTTCCATGGTTAGTCAGGGAGACGGGCCCAGATCATCGACAGAAGCGGATCTCCGCACCGGGAGCATTGGCCACTCGGTCCCGGTGTGCGTTCTGTCACGTTATTATCAACCTGTACCATTTCGACCTACAACAATAAACATGGCTGCTGTCGTCTTAAACTTCACCCCTGAGTTTTGTCTTCCGTCATCACCCTGAGCTTGTATCAGTGTTCTTGACGTCTCAGATGTTAGGTCACTTCGACGTTTTAACACTGTTACCACTGTCTTGAATGACGTATAATTACACAGCGTGATGTTAAAACATGTAACACATGCGAGATTAAGTCAGTTTAGGAACATTTATTCGATTCCGTAATGGGGTGAGTGAGTATGGTCTTACGCCGCCTTTAGCAATATGCCAGAAATTTCACGGCGGGAGACCCCAGAAATGTGCTTCACACATTGTAATCATGTGGGGAATCGAACCCGGGCCTTCGGCGTGACGAGCGAGCGCGTTAACCACTAGGCTACCCCGCCGCCCCTCCGTAATGGAGAAATCATCCGAATTTGTTGATTCCGGAAGTAGAATCATCAAGCCTCAAAATGGCGAGTTGATTCTACTTTCGGAATCAACAGAGTCGAGGGAGTCATGTTATGGTTGATTTATAATTTCTCGAAAATGTTGCATAATGACCTGTAGTTGCGTCAGAGTTACTTGCACACAAATCACGTTCAGAATTCCTGGCTCAGAACCAACTGCAACAATAGTATGACGTCAACATATTGGTTTAATTATCCTTAAATCCCTCAGTGGGCACAGTTTGCAAATTTGTTTATTCCATTTCTTTCCTCGATCCACTTTTGTTTCCATTTGAACAACAAAATAGCAAGAATTTCATGTATCATATGATGTTTTTATTCGAGATGTACAAGCGACTCTCAGATAATTACATATATATAGTATTACATAAATATATATAAAGAACAAGATGACAGTTGGGGCTACCCTTGCTACACCTCACTGCATACCTGCTTCTTTAAGTCTTGAATTCTTAAAGCGGTTGATATAATATTTTTCCTGTTTCACTATTAGAACTTTGTCAGCAGTTGCATGGTTGCATTATGACGTCGTGGGGAAGAAGTCCGTTGTTGTCGACTCTGTGAATACAACACAATATTACACTACGTGTAATAAATGTTCACGTGCAGTGTATTAACTCACGCGCTGAAAGGATGATGTACCAGTCTTTTGGAGGGCTATTAAAACTATTTTAAAAAACTGTTAGGAAATCTTATAAAATTTAGAGAAAGTCCCTACAACTTGAGAGTAGCATTGGTTTCTTTTCAAAACTTGCATGTTTGGAATTAAAACGACACCAGATGAATAAGTAGGGCAGCCATTATCGGGAAGCGTTTTTCTGATATTTGAACACCAGCAAGCCTTTGATTAATTGTGAAAATTACTTACCTGTGGCCGGCGGCAGCACTGAAAAACATACAAGAAACAGATAACATCTCAGTATGTGTAAACATTTACCACTGACTTAATTAACCATTGAATTGTCGAGATCTCTGACGTGTTTATGGTTAATGAATAAGACTTGATATTGATTCTATGTAATTTGATATTAATTCTATGTGTGAAAAACAAATAATGTTAAGGGTTATGTTTAATGACGCTTTGAGCTGTATTTTAGTTGTTTGAATACGAACGACAAAACCCTTTTCATATTCATAAGAAATCGACTATATCATGAGCATGTATGAGTCACTATCAAATCATGATGACGGGTGTTCACGGAAAAGTGAGCGTTTCCTGCCCCAGCAGTGACACCCGTCACAAACACATGCAAAGGCAAAGGCAATTGTTCACCTGAAAAAACACGGGAACATATGGCACAAGTCAAAATAGGGAATTGCATCGGACACTGACTCTTTAAATTTGGAAATGTCCTACACGTGACTACCACATGATCTTTTTTAAAAGCTTGACTGAGGCCTTGACTGTTGTAACCTACAGCAACATCTTCTTAGCAAGAGTCTTATGACGCTCTTTGAAATCTTGGCGGATTCTACCTCAAATGTTGTGAAATACAGACACCAAGGGCTTGAGCTGCAGCAATATTGTTCAACACAAAGGGAAAGTTGACAATGGAAAGTTGAAGTCTTCCCTCTTGTCATACAGTCTTTTGGAGAGTATTTGTCACTCTGAATTATGCATAGGTCTAAATATGAAACAGATATGCCAGTCTCACACGCCTTCCTTATTTCTAGTTGAGGGGAAGAGAATTGGCTATTTGATAGTTATTGATCAATATCAGATCATCGGTATACCTGAATCTTAAATTAAACTTTTTAACCAAATTACTCTGTTTTGAATTTGCCAATTCGGATTCAAATGCATGAAAAAACAGATCGGCAAGAAGAGGAGCACGGTATATGTCAGTTTGCTGTGAGAGGATCTGACGAAAATGCAGATATCTAAAAACTTACTTCAACATCATTTGGCGTTCATGGAGGTATAAACGTAAAAACCGATGCGCATACTCTTACACAATTAAAACTAGGTAATCCTTTAGTAACATAACCCGTGAACATCCGGGTTAGAATATGTCTTCAGCAACCCATGCTTGCAGTAAGTGGCGACTAACGGGATCGGTGGTGAGGCTCGCTAACTTGGTTGATGCATGTCATCGTATCCCAATTGCGTAGATCGATGCTTATGCTGTCAATCACTGGATTGTCTGGCCCAGACTCGATTATTTGCAGACCGCCGTCATAGAGCTTGAATATTGGTAAGTGCGGCGTTGAACAACAAACAAACAAAAAACCTTTTGTAATACAAGGACGACTCTCTTACCGTAAAGTGTTTGAGGGTCCGGAACAAGCGTTCCACTGTTACACAAATCGCCCCTACAGCAGAAACTACAGGTGTTGGCGAAGTATAGAGGCCCCTGGTCGACCTGGAAGCAATAGTACTTGGAGGAGGTCTCCCGCAACCAGTCTACTTGACAAGCTGTTTCATTCACACACCTGTGAAAATATGACGGGTACAAGAGTCAACAAATACGAAATGCAACCAGTCTACTTGACAAGCTGTTTCATTCACACACCTGTGAAAATATGACGGGTACAAGAGTCAACAAATACGAAATGCAACCAGTCTACTTGACAAGCTGTTTCATTCACACACCTGTGAAAATATGACGGGTACAAGAGTCAACAAATACGAAATGCAACCAGTCTACTTGACAAGCTGTTTCATTCACACACCTGTGAAAATATGACGGGTACAAGAGACAACAAATACGAAATGCAACCAGTCTACTTGACAAGCTGTTTCATTCACACACCTGTGAAAATATGACGGGTACAAGAGACAACAAATACGAAATGCAACCAGTCTACTTGACAAGCTGTTTCATTCACACACCTGTGAAAATATGACGGGTACAAGAGACAACAAATACGAAATGCAACCAGTCTACTTGACAAGCTGTTTCATTCACACACCTGTGAAAATATGACGGGTACAAGAGTCAACAAATACGAAATGCAACCAGTGTTAAAATTAAATTAATTAAGCAGAAATATTTCATAACACTGACATTTGACACTGACATTGTTTAGTGCGCGCGCGCGCGTGCGTGCGTGCGTGCGTGCGTGTGTGTGTGTGTGTGTGTGTGTGTGTGTGTGTCTGTATGCCTGTGTGTGCGTGAACTAATGCGGTTTTTATAATGGATTATTTAATCAGGAATTCTGGAGGTAAGCTGAAATGGGATTTAACGTCGCGTCCAAGATTATTGCATGAACGTGTGTGTGTGTGGCTGGACTGATGCCGATTTATAGTGCTCGCAGTTTAACATGAATACCCCACTCAGACACAGTATACTGACTCCGATCGCGAGGAGTGTTTTAAGCCCTTAATGCAGAGCGCCAGACAGGATAACAACAAGCACCATCTTTTAACGTATTTCGGTATGACGCGGCCGGGGATCGAACCCCGGACCTTCCGCTCTCCTGGCGGACGCTCTACCACTAGACCACGGAGGCGGTCAGTCAACTTTTGGACCGAACACCGACATATGCAACAGCTGATAATACACGTGTCTGTGTGTGTGTGTGGCTGCTTGTACTAGTCTGGACTGATGCCGATTTATAGTGCTAGCCCACTGAGATGCCATGACGCAGTTTAACATGAATACATGAATACATGGTGAGCCCACCAGTCCTTCTTTTAGCCCCTTTCCTGTCGAGCGCCAGACAGGGTAACAACAAGTACCATCTTTTGGTATGACGCGGCCAGGGATGGAACCCAGGACCTTCCGCTCTCAGGGCGGACGCTCTACCACTAGACCACGGAGGCGGTCAGGAATTCTGGAAAAAAGTAGTACGGTTCTAGAACTTACATTCGTCTGGCTGTCTGCTTCGAGCTCATATCTTCAATTACTGAGGTCATACAGAATTGGGTATCAAGGTCACACATCGTAGGTTGACCTCCCGTCATGCACTGCGGGTCATCAGGAGAACAGGTATCGCATATTGCTGTAAAAAAGATATGAAGTTAAAAGTGAGTGAGTAACTTAATTCCCTAACCAACATTAATCCAGTTACATCACCTGTAGGGCCAGGTAAACGCGTAACTGAAACAACGACCCACGCCATCAGGCAACGTATACCATGTCTCCCAATGTCACAGAGCCTGACCACCAACTTCTGTCAGCCCCCACAACAAGCAGGAGGAAACAGTATTCGTGGGAATCTCCACATGGTAGTTTACAACTATTTAGCCGTATGCTGCCGATATAAAACAGCCCGGAAAACCTTTCAAAACTGTACCTAAAACAAATACCATAATGCAGAAACGTTAATTGACAATTTATATCTGCATGAACTGGTTTTTACTGGCGGACTGTAGTCCCTGAGGTTCACTATAAGCACAGTAACATTTGCCTATGCTGAGTCAACTGCAAATGAAATGTTTTGGCCAGGGCTTAGACTTTAAGAACGCACGCGCACACACACACACACGCACACGCACGCACACACACACGCACACACACATATAAACACACCACCACACATTGTAATACATCTAAATAGAAAATTGCAGATAAATATGTTTAAACGTACGGCGATGTATGGTAGTTGATTCTGTTGAAGTTTGTGTCACATCAGAAGTAGCCTGTGTCACATCCGATGAAGTTTTTATCACTTCCGAGGTAGTTTGTGTCACGTCCGATGTAGTTTTTATCACACCCGAAGTAGCTTCAGTGATATCCGGGTGTGTGGTGCTCAATGGTATTGACGTTGATGGAATTACCATCGGATCTTAATTTTAAAAATACAAACAATCAGATAGCTGCTTTATGCACTTCACAATACTCACGAGGAACAGCATAGCAACACACTAAGACTTGCTCTTCTGCATACTATCATTCAAGACAATATAATGTAAGAATGCAATTATCATCTCAAATGTTAATGAGGTTAAAATGAGGTCATGAGGTTAATCTAAATAACAAACCATTCCAGATATACACTGCGTAAACAAGCAAGATAAATACGTGAAAATGTATTATTATGTTGTATATCTTGACTAAATACATATACTTACAATATAAAGTTTCTATACTTGGCACCAAACTGCCATTATTACATTGATCCCCCACGCAACAAAAGCTGCAATAATTGGGATAAAACAGCGGCCCCTTGTCCACTTCCAAACAATATGGCCGCCCGGATGTGTGATTGATCCAGTCCGTCTCACACATATTGAGATCAGCACAACTGGCAAATAAAAAAAGACATGAAAAAAGCAATGATATAGCTAAACTACACATACACATGTACGTTTGAAATTATTTTTGATGTGAGTTGAATAATTGTCACGCCACTATTCAAATGAAACATTGCAGTCTGGGTAGTAGTAGTGTTTTGTAACATTATCAACGAATTGAATTTACCGTATTCGACGTAATAAGCGCCCAGGGGGCTCTCTAAATTAGAAATAGGGGTCTCTTATTGGAATATTATTTTAGTGAAAAAAACAGAGTTGAAAGATAAATTTCGTGGTTTATGCTGACAGTCTGAAATCGTTTATATACGACCGATGTATGTTTCCAGAATTTAATTGCCCATAATTAAAGGTGCATAAATAAGTCTTGTGTACATTGATCAATCGGAAGGAGTGCTAATTGGGATTGTTCACTAGCAAATATATTAGCAAATATCGCCGTGGGCGCTTATTAGAGCGGGGCGCTTAATACGTCGAATACGGTAGTTCAATAGGCAATATCTGTCTCAGTTATTGTATAGACACCAATCCGACTCTAGTCATGCCCATCAAATATTGATCAATGCGGCTCGTTATTGATTTTGGTAAAGTCATTAGCGTAATGATACGAACATTTACTCAAAGCAAAGATGTGAATGATTGCTAGCGGTTCTGATGCGCTTAGCACGTGTACGTGCAACAAACCACTGGCGACTTGTTAAAAACGCAGTCGACGCTAAATCCAAAAACAGGTTGTTGTTTTCTGAACTGTAGGAGATTATCTGGCAGCGAATGGCAAATAATGGGCATGATAAACGCAGGAATGTCCTACAAAGCTGTTGGTATCCAGCTCGGTTACCACCTTTCTGTTAAGCAGATTATCACAGAAACATCGCATAAACTACTCAGGTAATTGACCGTCCAAGATTAGGCCCTGTGTGACGTCAGCACGCGAAGATAGCGATTGCTGCTCTTGGTGAGGCGACAACCCTTTGCCACAAGCACTTTCTCATACCAACCCACAGACAACTGTCGTCACGGAAATCGTCTCAAATCAGCATGTTTAAGGTCAAAGATGAAGTGTCCTTTGCTGTCAGAAGGTCAACGCAGGGACCGTTTGGCATGGTGTTTGGTGGACGTAGCTTGATCATGAGATCCACCGGTCGGACGTGAGCAGGTTCATCTCACAGACGGGCGTATTCGGGTTTTGCGGCAAAGAAACGCGGCATACACGTAAAGGAACATCAATCCCACAGTGTCCATTAGCTAATCGGGAGAAGTCATAGTTTAGGTATGCCTGTCCCATGATTGCAAGCCAGACATAATCGTCTTGCTCCGAAGATCTGTTGTGAAGTGGCCGTCTGAATGCGGCAGTCTTGCGTAGCTGTCGTTACATGTGGCGCACCTGGTCGAGAACGATCTACAACCGCACCAGTCTCGTTGAATCGACGTCTTAGTCGACTGATAAAATGACTGCATGCCTGTCCAGCTGTGCCCTTCCAAGGTGGAGAGCCGGTTGGGTAGCCTTGTGGTTAAAGCGTTGCCTCGTCACGTCGAAGGCCCGGGTTCGACCCCCTACATGGGTACAATATGTGAAGCCAGTTTTCCGGTGTACCCCCGCCGTGATATTGCTGAAATATTGCTAAAAGCGGTGTAAAACAACACTCACTCACACACTCACTCACTCACTCCTTGGTGGAGGAGTACATTTAAAGGACCTGACTGCAGGCAATGGCACCTCCTACACCTCACTTCAGGCCCTTACAGAAGAAATGCCACTAAATCTACGCAGGGAACATCTAAGCCTTAATTTCTGGGCCGCGTCCCAAACAAACCCTCTCATCCAAAACCTAATTAACCAAAACATTAGCCCAAGAAACCAAGCTCTAGCTCGCAAACACCCCTTACTCACCCCAATATCCCAAAGAATAACTAACTACCTCAATGAACACCAAACTCAAAATCTTAAACAAAACTGCAAAAAATCAAATATCTTCACCCCTAAACTCAAAATACCCCAAATAGACACAACGCTAACTAACCAAATAAATAAACAAACCGACCCAAACATAGCTAAAACAACCACACTTTCATACATACACGAAAATTGGCCAAATTGGTGTCACATATACACTGACGGATCTTCAGACCCGATCTCCAAACACACAGGTTTCGGAGTCCATACCACACAACCAGTTATATCCACACAATCTTACCGACTCCCAAACAACCAATCTATATTCACGGCCGAACTTATGGGCATGGCCTCAGCCCTGCATAACCAACAATCAAAAAACCACAAAAAAATCCTAATTCTCACTGACTCGCTTAGTGGACTACAAGCCCTCCAAAACAAAAATACCAAAAAACGACCTAAATTAATAAACCAAATACTTAAAAGCTCCAACGACCTAACAAAAGCAGGCAAACAAATAACCTTCTTGTGGATCCCCGCCCACGTAGGAATTTACGGCAACGAAAGCGCCGATAAAGCAGCTAAATTATCTCTCAAAATACCAGAAATAAGCCTAAACCTACCCATCTCAAAATCAGAAATTAAAAGTGTAAACAAACAAAAAATAACCAAAAAATGGCATAATCAATATCAAAACTCAAATAGCCAAATCAAAAAAGTGCTCAGAAAACCACTAGCCAAACCTAAAATCCTTCACCCCTCTAAAAAAATTGACAGATTAATTACAAAACTCCAAACAGGACACACGAACCTAAATAACCACCTAAAACAACTTAAAAGACACACCACAGGCAACTGCCCCCACTGCAAACAACCCGAAACCACAGAACACGCACTCATCCACTGCACCCACTACCAAACACACAGAACCACACTACAAACCAACCTCAATCTAAATAAGGTTCCTACTCTAGATGAAATACTAAACCCTCAAAATAAACTAGAAAACTTCAAGGCCCTAGGCGTATTCCTAATCAAAACAGGCCTAATTAAGCGCATCTAAAAACTAATTAATCTACCAACCCAAAATCCAATAAACATACAAATACCCACCTCACCCAGTTCCCTCCTCCATCCACCTCGGCATTTATTCCAAATTTTAAAATTTCAAAAATCGATATAAGCAACCCCTAAAAGCCCCCTCTTGTGTTGCACACACCACTTCCACCCTTCTCGGAATACACTAAATGGTCTGGCCAGGCCCGTGTGCGAAATACGCTGCAGTCGGAAAGCGCACGTTAAATCTTCTATATCAGTAAGTCAGGCAATGTACGTACACAACATGAATAATCCAACATGTTGCGTTCGCGAGTTGTGTTTTTAGCATTTATGGCCATGAACTAGTGTTGATCTTGGGATCAAACCCGGACTGTGTCAGGGTCGAATCCTTACACACACTGCACCTATGTCATCTAGCCAACTTATTAAATAGTACTCTGCATAAAACATCGATGGCGTTATTATGGCTTTCAGTATATGATTCCATCACCTTTCTCCTCTTACGTCCCATGCTTTGAGTTCGAGGAACATGGAGCTGCTGATGAAACTATGTCAAAATACTAAATTTGTTCAAAATCCATCAATTTATGTTCAAATTATGACAACGAAAGCAGCGCAAGTGGTTTGGCAATAATTGTTCTCTGTTTGTACAATGTTGCTTTTGTTGTTGTTGTTTGTTTGTTTTGTTTTTTGTTTTAATTTTTGTTTTTTCTAGATGTTAACATTATCCAAACCAAACTAGGTGAAGCGTTATAAAATATCCCTCCTTGCCAGACATGTCACACAATAGACTAAACAGATATTTAATCAGGACCTAACCGTGAAATGTTTAAAACATGTTCAGAAAACAGGTCTGACTTTCAAGCAATTACCATGTGACGTTTGGCCTAGTTATAAATATTGACTGATCACAACTTCATAGTTCAGAATCAGTCTCAGTGATGAACCACAAATTGAACAAGCAAGGTTCAATTGTTGATAACCAAAAATATTCAGTATTGATATGGACCATACCTACTTACTCCTTTTTACCAACTTATTACATATTTTGCCTGTCACCCAATATTTATCATAATATAACAGACATCTAAATTATCATTACCTTCTTTCTGCATACTGGTTAAAGCGATTGTCTTCATACACAGTGGTTTGACAGTACGGTCTGTCAGGGTCACAGAGTGTAGGGCGACCTCCATGAACACACCCAAGGTCATCCCGACTGCACACGTCACACACGGCTAGAGGTACAGGGTAAAGAGACCAATCAATACACAACCACTCGGTACACACGGCTAGAGGTACAGGGTAAAGAGACCAATCAATACACAACCACTCGGTACACACGGCTAGAGGTACAGGGTAAAGAGAGCAATCAATACACAACCACTCGTCACACACGGCTAGAGGTACAGGGTAAAGAGACCAATCAATACACAACCACTCGGTACACACGGCTAGAGGTACAGGGTAAAGAGAGCAATCAATACACAACCACTCGGTACACACACGGCTAGAGGTACAGGGTAAAGAGACCAATCAATACACAACCACTCGTTACACACGGCTAGAGGTACAGATTAAAGAGAGCAATCAATACACAACCACTCGTCACACACGGCTAGAGGTACAGGGTAAAGAGACCAATCAATACACAACTACTCGTCACACACACGGCTAGAGGTACAGAGTAAAGAGAGCAATCAATATACAACCACTCGTCACACACGGCTAGAGGTACAGAGTAAAGAGAGCAGTCAATACACAACCACTCGTTACACACACGGCTAGAGGTACAGGGTAAAGAGAGCAATCAATACACAACCACTCGTTACACACACGGCTAGAGGTACAGGGTAAAGAGAGCAGTCAATACACAACCACTCGTCACACACGGCTAGAGGTACAGGGTAAAGAGAGCAATCAATACACAACCACTCGTCACACACGGCTAGAGGTACAGGGTAAAGAGACCAATCAATACACAACCACTCGGTACACACGGCTAGAGGTACAGGGTAAAGAGAGCAATCAATACACAACCACTCGTTACACACGGCTAGAGGTACAGGGTAAAGAGACCAGTCAATACACAACCACTCGTCACACACGGCTAGAGGTACAGGGTAAAGAGAGCAATCAATACACAACCACTCGGTACACACACGGCTAGAGGTACAGGGTAAAGAGACCAATCAATACACAACCACTCGTTACACACGGCTAGAGGTACAGATTAAAGAGAGCAATCAATACACAACCACTCGTCACACACGGCTAGAGGTACAGGGTAAAGAGACCAATCAATACACAACTACTCGTCACACACACGGCTAGAGGTACAGAGTAAAGAGAGCAATCAATATACAACCACTCGTCACACACGGCTAGAGGTACAGGGTAAAGAGAGCAATCAATACACAACCACTCGTTACACACACGGCTAGAGGTACAGGGTAAAGAGAGCAATCAATACACAACTACTCGTCACACACACGGCTAGAGGTACAGGGTAAAGAGACCAATCAATACACAACTACTCGTCACACACACGGCTAGAGGTACAGGGTAAAGAGACCAATCAATACACAACTACTCGTCACACACACGGCTAGAGGTACAGAGTAAAGAGAGCAATCAATATACAACCACTCGTCACACACGGCTAGAGGTACAGGGTAAAGAGAGCAATCAATACACAACCACTCGTTACACACACGGCTAGAGGTACAGGGTAAAGAGAGCAGTCAATACACAACCACTCGTCACACACGGCTAGAGGTACAGAGTAAAGAGAGCAATCAATATACAACCACTCGTTACACACACGGCTAGAGGTACAGGGTAAAGAGAGCAGTCAATACACAACCACTCGTTACACACACGGCTAGAGGTACAGGGTAAAGAGAGCAATCAATACACAACCACTCGTCACACACGGCTAGAGGTACAGGGTAAAGAGACCAATCAATACACAACCACTCGTTACACACACGGCTAGAGGTACAGATTAAAGAGACCAATCAATACACAACCACTCGTTACACACGGCTAGAGGTACAGCGTATAGAGAGCAGTCAATACACAACCACTCGTCACACAGAACAGAGTATCCATCAATTTACCCAGGTGTGGAGTTGTCGGCACTGTTGGTGTTGGTGTGTTTTGGGTCTCTGAAGTAGGAGATAGGTCGGTGGTGTTTGTGGGTTCCGGAGGACCTTACAGGACATGAATTGATACATAAATATATACATACCAAAATACACGAAGATATGTTCACGCCAAGTAATAAATAATTGTATCTCTTTCTATCGGGCAACTCATGAATCAATGTCCCACGGCTGAATATGTCGGCATGTCTTGAATTTCCTCTCCCAACCGTCGTTGTTATATTGCATTTATATGGGGCACCGGTGGCCCAGTCGTCTGAGGCGCCGCAATTCGTTGTACAGAGTTGCGTCCCTTGGGGACGCCAGGAACCTAGGATTGTGGGTTGGAACCCCGGTTCCCCCTGATTATGTTTCTAGGTTTGTCAGCTTCATACCCGTGCTCGTGGGTTTCACCGAAGTGGTAAACGCCTGACCGGCATCATTTGGGGCTTTCCTCCCACATTAAGCTGATATAACTGGAATACTGTAACAAAAGCGGTGTTAAATCCAACACACTCACTCAGTCACAATTGTGTTTATATATTTGTCTCAGCGTCGGGGAATTAGTAGCCCAGTAACACTTGGCGTTCCTCAGATGTATGAGCTTCCGCTAATCGTTAGTCCGTATCCAAGAACCCACCCAATTATGATGTTTGGTTTGTCAGCATCATACATGCTCGTGTGGTAAACATCCTCCAAAAGTAAGCTGGCACGTCGCGATATTTCTGGGATACTGTGCAACACAGTGTTTCACCCGACTTACTCACTCACTCACTCAATCATATCAGTGCCACTGTGACATGTGTATAATTATGTAAATTGATGTATATTGCCATTGGATAGTTGACTGTGTCCAATTGAATGAGCTTTTGTCAGTTTTGCGTATTAGATTTTTACAACTCACGGTACAGAGTGTCGGGGTCAGGAACCAGAGTGCCCGAGTTGCAGAGATCCCCAACACAGCAGAAGTTGCAGTCGACGGGGAAGTATAGTTCGCCCTGGTCGATGTCGTAGCAGTAGTGACGCCATGACGTCTCCATGTACCACTTTTGGTAGCACACAGACTCGTTCACGCAGCTGGGGAAAAACAGGGAATAACGTTATATCACACAGACTCAGACTCGTTCACGCAGCTGGGGAAATACAGGGAATTACGTTATATCACATAGACTCTTTCCCGACTTAAGAACACCGACTGCACACGGCTTGAGAACTATGAAGACTATCAGGGCAACACGAAGACGCAGCTGAGGAAATACAGGCATGCATTTACGACATAAAGACCAGTTCAACCAGCTTGGAAAATTGAGTAGAACTTCCAAAACAAACTCATATACATATATCTGGATATAATGAGAATGGTTAAAACAGATATGCCTCCAACATCACATAGATCCGTCCAGGTAGGTGGGGAAATACAGAGTGTCACCATTAAAAACAGATCCCCCCTCTACATCACACAGATTCGTTCACGTAAGTAAGGGAAAATATAAGACGGCTTTCAAACAGCAGGACACACTACTTGAAGGAATACATTCTGCCATGTCAGCTATTTCAGTCATAGGTTATGGTTGTGATTTGAAACCTCTGGCTGACCAACCACAATCGAGTAGTTTCCAAATGATTGGTAGAATATTCAACATATGGTAGACAGTTGCACCCACCCTCTGCTGACTGTCATGTTGGAGGGGTAGTTGTCATGGACGGTGGTCATGCAGTACGACTCCTCAAGGTCACAAAGCGTCGGCGTACCGGAAGTGAAACATTCGGGATCAGACTCGTCACACACCTCGCAGATTGCTGGGGAGGAGATGTGGAAGAGTGTCTACTTGCATGTTCACAGGCAATACTCAAGACAAGTAACGATTATCTATGTATTGATTCCAATTTAGATATTTGCAAAGAATTATTCTTCTGAATATAAAATATGGTATCCTGCTATCGCCATTGCACATACAATGAGTTGGATTTAACGCCGCTTTGAACAGTATTTCAGTTATTAAACGGCGCATCAACTTAATGAGGAAATGCCAAACTGATGCAGGTCTCAGACGCTCTATGACTTTGGTGAAAACTTCAAGCAATGGGTATGGCGCTGACAAAAAAGAGATCACAATCAAGGCTAATAAGGGATTTCTAAAACATGATCAGTAGATCCCGACAAGATCAGAGAACGCAACTATGCTCGACGAATTACATCGGTCTGGACACCTGGTGCATCCGTACCCGCCAGCGTACAGAGACAGCTTATATAACACACCTAGAATATATAATTCATCCTACCTTCACAATATTTTACCTCCTGGATTCCAGATTGAAAATAACAACTCACAAGGTTCTTTCCAATTTGTTGCCAAGTTATGTTACTGATTTCTCACTGTTTATGACCAGAACACATATATACACTATGTTTCTTCTTAGCGCCCTTTGCGGGACACGGGTGGCCGAGTCGTCTCAGGCGCTGCGATTTGCTGTGCAGAGTTGCGTCCTTGGACACGCCAGAAACCTATGATTGTGGGTTCGAATCCCGATTTCTAGATTTGTCACCAACATACCCGTGCTCGTGAGTTTCACCGAAGTGGTAAACGTCTGAGACCTGCTTCACTTCGGGCTTTCCTCCCGCATTAAGCTGACACGCCGTGATATAACTAGAATAATGTTAAAAACGGCGTTAAACCCAACTCACACACTCACTCACTAAGCGCCCTTTGCAACCAGTTCATTGTCCAACAACGATGTACCTGTTGGTTCCTTTGTTTCATCTTCACTGCTGGATACGCCATCACTTACTGTGTTTCTCCGTTGTTGAAACTGACGTTGTGGATGGTGTCGTCATACTTGTGTCCGTCGAGGATGGTTCCGTTGCAGTATTGTAGGATGACGATGGTGTTGCGACGTCGACGGTGCTGCCTTCCGTGGTCAGTGAGGGTGGCCCTGAACAAGAGACAATACCAACCAGGGATTAATTAAATTATTTGGACATCGTGAAAAAATGTACCTTAAACATGCCCCAATGGTTTCGAAATGTATGTAAGGTATGTTACAGATTTCTCACTGTTAATGACCAGAACACATATATACACTATGTTTGTTCTTAGCGCCATTTGCGGGACACGGGTGGCCCAGTCGTCTAAGGCGCCGCGATTCGCTGTGCAGAGTTGCGTCCCTTGGACACGCCAGAAGCCTATGATTGTGGGTTCGAATCCCGATTCGCCCCGATTTGTTTCTAGTCTTGTCAGAACCATCCCCGTGGTCTTGGGTTTCACCGAACTGGTAAACGTCTGAGACCTGCATCACTTCGGGCTTTCCACCCACATTAAGCTGACACGTCGTGATATAACTAGAATAATGTAAAAAGCGGCGTTAAACCCAACTCAATCACTCACTAAGCGCCCTTTGCAACCATTTCATTGTCCAACAACGATGTACCTGTTGGTTCCTTTGTTTTATCTTCACTGCTGGATACGCCATCACTTACTGTGTTTCTCCGTTGTTGAAACTGACGTTGTGGATGGTGTCGTCATACTTGTGTCCGTCGAGGATGGTGCCGTCGTAGTGTTGTAGGATGACGATGGTGTTGCGACGTCGACGGTGCTGCCTTCCGTGGCCATTGACGGTGGCCCTGAACAAGAGAAAATACCAACCAGACGTGAATTAAATTATTTGGACATCGTGAAAAAATGTGCCTTAAACATGCCCCAATGGTTTCGAAATTTATGTTCAGAAATTATTTTCAATTAATGTCAATGACAACTCACGGTACAGAGTGTCGGGGTCAGGAACCAGAGTGCCAGAGTTGCAGAGATCCCCAACACAGCAGAAGTTGCAGTCGACGGGGAAGTATAGTTCGCCCTGGTCGATGTCGTAGCAGTAGTGACGCCATGACGTCTCCATGTACCACTTTTGGTAGCACACAGACTCGTTCACGCAGCTGGGGAAATACAGGGTATAAATGTACAACTTGCAGACTAGTTTATTCAGCTTGGGAAATGAGAATAACACTGACTCGTTCATATAGTTTGGGAGATATGGTACATGAAGTTACGTAACACTGATTCGTCCACGTAGGTGAGGAAATATAGACTACGACTGTTTAACACAGATATGCCCCCTACATCACGCATAATTGTCAACGTAGGTGAAGAAATATAGACGACGAATGTGTCACACAGATATGCCCCCTACATCACGCATAGTTGTCCACGTAGGTAAGGAAATTTAGAATACGACAGTTTTACACAGATATGCCCCCTACATCACGCATATTCTTCCACATATTTGAGGAACGATAGACTTTTGTTGTTGAAAACAGACATACGCATACGGATGGAAAGGTTTAGTTCATAAATCCACGTGGCGTAATCTCTAAACTGTACTACCGCAGATTTTAAGGGTTACCTCTCTGGGATGTCAGTTATATCAGTCATAGGTTAGGATTGTGATTTGAAACCTCTGGCTGACCAACCACAATCGAGTATTTTCAAAATTATTGATAGAATATTATTAAATAGATGGTAGACAGTTGCACCCACCCTCTGCTGACTGTCATGTTGGAGGGGTAGTTGTCATGGACGGTGGTCATGCAGTACGACTCCTCAAGGTTACAAAGCGTCGGCGTACCGGAAGTGAAACATTCGGGATCAGACTCGTCACACACCTCGCAGATTGCTTGGGAGGAAATGTTCTTATTGTCAACATCACACAGAACGTGGTCAAACTTGTCCACAGTAAGCCAGGGCTTTAAAAGTACATTACAGTGAAATGAAGACTGCGCACAGGGAGATAAATGCACGTGAATATTTTAGTCATTTTTGAATGACATGTCTAATCTTGTCCTTACGTGAGTGAGTGAGTTGGGTTTAACGCCGCTTTTAACAGTATTCCAGTTATATCGCTGCGTGTCAGCTTAATGTGGGAGGAAAGCCCGAAGTGATGCAGGTCTCAGACGTTTACCACTTCGGTGAAACCCACGAGCACGGGTATGGTGCTGACAAACCTAGAAACATAATCGGGGCGAATCGGGATTCGAACCCACAATCATAGGTTTCTGGCGTGCCCAAGGGACGCAACTCTGCACAGCGAATCGCGGCGCCTTAGACGACTGGGCCACCCGTGCCCCCTGTCCTTACGTATATTCACGACAGCGAGGTGGTTAATGTAACTACATATACTTCAGGATAATAGAGGAACAGTTCTATGAAGGTCATGCACTGGTCCAATAATATACTAGTAACTAAGGGCGACACTCCATCAAATACAAGAACATAAAACCTGACACCATACAAATCTAGGTTTCTTAAATATCAAATATAATAAAATCACAACCTTGTGGGACATATCTTTGGATTGTCTCATCTTAATGATCGATGATTAAAACAAATGTTTATAATTGACTGACTGTGTTTCTCGGTGGTGGACACGGTAGGCGGCTGTGTGACGTATGTGGCTACACTGCCTACAGGACTACTGCCGGGGCCAGCAGAACTCGTGCTCGATCCTTGTGGATTTGGAGGCGTTGGACCCGACAAGCTATCTGTGCTTGATCCTTGTGGTTTTGAAGGCGTTGGACCCGTCAAGCCAACTGTGCTCGATCCTTGTGGATTTGGAGGCGTTGGACCCGTCAAGCTATCTGTGCTTGATCCTTGTGGATTTGGAGGCGTTGGACCCGTCGAGCCACCTGTGCTTGATCCTTGAGGGTTTGGAAGCGTTGGACCCGTCGAGCCATCTGTGCTTGATCCTTGTGAATTTGGAAGCGTTGGACCCGTCGAGCCATCTGTGCTTGATCCTTGAGGATTTGGAAGCGTTGGACCCGTCGAGCCATCTGTGCTTGATCCTTGAGGGTTTGGAAGCGTCGGACCCGTCAAGCCATCTGTGCTTGAACCTTGTGGATTTGGAGGCGTTGGACCCGTCGAGCCATCTGTGCTTGATCCTTGAGGATTTGGAAGCGTTGGACCCGTCGAGCCATCTGTGCTTGATCCTTGAGGGTTTGGAAGCGTCGGACCCGTCAAGCCATCTGTGCTTGAACCTTGTGGATTTGGAGGCGTTGGACCCGTCAAGCCATCTGTGCTTGATCCTTGTGGATTTGGAGGTGTTGGACCCGTCAAGCCATCTGTGCTTGATCCTTGTGGATTTGGAGATGTTGGACCCGTCAAGCCATCTGTGCTTGATCCTTGTGTATTTGGAAGTGTTGGACCCGCCAACCCATCTGTGCTCGATCCTTGTGGATTTGGAGGCGTTGGACCCGTCAAGCCATCTGTGCTTGATCCTTGTGGATTTGGAAGCGTTGGACCCGTCAACCCGCCCGTTGTAGATTCAAGTGTGTAGGGTTGAGTTGGTCCTGTCAAACCTTTACGAGTGGGTGATGATCCCTCAGAACTTACAGCAGATGTCGGGGGCCTCCCTGATACCGTTGGCACCACCATTGGCTCTGTAATATGAGTTAAGTACCATGTCTAAGAAGTTGTATGTTTTCACGTGTTAAACTATAATCAGTGAAGTTATCATTTTATAATCGCTTGCCTAAAGCTGAAGTCAGGTTTGGTAAACATATTTAGGTAACTTTCAAGTGTACATATTGAAGAAGGTAGTAGTCACATTATGGCACGTGTAACTAACGGTAGAGGGTTTCAGGAGACGGGACAAGGGTTGGTCCGGCGTTGCAGAGATCCCCAACACAGCAGAAGTTGCAGTCGACGGGGAAGTATAGTTCGCCCTGGTCGATGTCGTAGCAATAGTGACGCCATGACGTCTCCATGTACCACTTTTGGTAGCACACAGACTCGTTCACGCAGCTGGGGAAATACAGGGTATAAATTTACAACTTGCAGACTAGTTTATTCAGCTGTATTCGACACACAAAATCTATATCGTAGCATGGGATATATTGTTCTTTCCAAGCCTTCATATCAAACCTCAAAACACATCTATTCAAAACAATGTACGGTAGATATACTCTCGTGTTGCGCTGTGAGCAATTACCTTTCGGTGGGTTAGCGCATGACAAATGGACTATTATTATTATCATTATTAAATATGTTGGCCTCTCATTCCCATCGAACCCGTGACGTTTCGGATTAGATTCAGCAACCCGTGCTAGTCGTAAGAGGCGACTATCGGGATCGGATGGTCAGGCTCGCTGACGTGGTCGATCCACGCAATCATTTCCCTATTGCGTGGGTCGATGCTCATGACATGAATCACTGGATTGTATGGTCCAGGCTCGATTATTTACACACCGCTGTCATTCAGCTCGAATGTTGCTGAATGCGGCGTTAAACAACAAAAAAAGAAACTCAGTCCCATCGTAGTTTCGTTTTAGAAAACAAACCTTCTACTGACGGTCATGTTGTTAGGAAAATTATCATGGACCGTTGTCATGCAGAAGGCGTGGTCCACGTCACATGACGTCGGCGTGCCACCATGGAAACAGTCTTGGTCTTTGACGTCACACACTTCACACATGTCTGAAAGAGAAACCAAAAGACAATTGTAAATGTCCAATCTGCTGACATTATTCCTTGGGTAACCAGTTGTTTATCAGCGATTGTCTGTGTTGTTGTAACAGTTTTTGAGACAATGTTTGTTGTCGACCTCAGGATCATGAAGTTAAAAGACGTATATGTAACGCTTGACCCTAAAACGTTAGAACGTACTTCCTCTAAAATACATTCCTTAATATGACTTTTTTCAAAAGTTGTTATTAAATCAGTATCGGTTATTCATTCTCCTTTAATTAATGTCATGAGTTCTATAACAGCCAAACAAGCAAGCTAGTAACTAACCGACTGTTACCGTTGATAAGCCAGAGGTTGCTGAATCGGTCGTTGATGAAGTCATAACTGCTGGCTTGCTAGTTGACACAACGGGTGTCGAGAGTCTGGTGACATTGAGTTCTGTTCAGAGAAATGAAAACATTCAACGAGAATTTCTTGTAATCATTTATTAAGATTTTCTTGTATGAAAATTAAAAACAGACCGCAAAACGTCATATATATTGAACGGTAACATGTATTTACACATACAAAAGTTCTAACTTGTTAAAAAAAATCATCCGTAAATCTGTTTGACAACAAACCTCCATTATACAGAAACTGTGCCGGAGGGATCAAATCTGGCCCTTGGTTACACAGGTCGCCCTGGCAACAGAAGCTGCACGTGACATCAGCCCTTAGGTTGCCCATGTCCACCTCATAGCAAAACAGTCTCTCTTCAGTCACTGCGAATTTCTGTTGACATTCTGTTAAGTCCGCACATCTGCAAATGGGATGCAAATGGTGAAAATTATCTATTACGGCAGCATATTTATATTGTTTTATCAATATTGCGTGAAATATTTTTAATCCCCGAGATTACTACGATGGCTGAGTTGACGGTGTTGGGTCAGCTTATTGTTGTGGAGAGATCAAGGTGGTGCGGGTATTAGACGTCCTCTCTTCGTGAAACCCACGGGCACATATATGGTGCTAACAAAACCAAGTCAAATGTAGCATTCCAGACAACGATCAGCAGATCCTGACACGACCAAGGGACGCAACTCTACGTAGGAGATCACGATGGTATCTGTTGAGCCCCATAACCAATGGATGTAACGACAGTACTGTACATACTCTAAACACGTTTTTATTGATTGTTCCTTCTTACCCATATGACAACATAATTTATTAGTATTTATGTCAAATATACTTTATGCACTATAAACTACTTAACCTTGTTTCTAAAAATAATGCAAACAGCAATATTTCATGACATGTGTCACTTAACAACGGGGTGGCATTACTAAGATGGAGTAAGAATCTGCAAAGAACGATTTAAAAAAAAAATCTAGTTTCATATTTGAAATAACACATATATTTCTTCTCATGGTATAACAAACTTCAAATTTTCCCTCTTGGCGTCGTCCCTGGCGACAGATGGTTTACGTTAGATATGTCGCTACACTCAGCCAGAGACTCAATAATTATTCATTTATTCCCATACCAAGGACAAATGCAGGCTTGTGGCAAAACTTCATCGTTTCATTCAAACATTTGATTTTTGTATTTGCAGCAGTGTTTTCAGTGTGCTCAAAACAGTAATATTTCTCAGGTATCGTTGCTTCACTTTAAAACCTCCACTTCGAGATCATTTTTTCTGTTTGAATAAAATTTAAAATACTCTCATTGTATGATTAGTGTTTCTATTATCCGTTCACATCTGGATTAACGAGTCACCGGAAGTGACGCCTTCTCGGCGCACTGGCTTCTAAGCAGACACAACAGAGAAGCTATGTCAGTATGCTGTGGACATTTAGTGTTTTAGTTACAACCAAACCAAAAGGCGCTAAACAATGACATGTGTTAATTAATTAGAGACCAAATCTATCTACCTAACTCAGTTTCTAATTATTTTTTTATTTATAATACAGTAAACTACGGTTATAACGAACTCAAATGGACCACTGATTTTAGTTCGTTATAACCGTAGTTCGTTGAAGGCATACAACATTTATACAGCAAATTGCCGCAACCAAAAATTAAGGTCGTAATATTATCCGTCAGTTCGTAATAAACGTCTCCGTTATAAACGTATTTTACTGTAGAATGCTTCCTCTCTTAATAGTTTGAAAAAGGATATTTCCTTGAACCAATTAATTATTTCTGTGCTACCATAGAGCGTTGAGAGTAAGAGTGGGCGTATCCGAACAGCCCCATGAAAGGTTTCTAGTGATAAGCTCCACAGCCTCAATAGCTCATTCTGTGTCACAAAAGCAATATTTAGTTAGTTGTACTCTGTAGATGAATTTATGGCGTAAAACTGCAAGTGTCGAGGGAGTGGAACCACAGTACTTACTTTCTGCCCACTGATCGATCTCCGCCCAATGTATCTGTCACTTCTGTGAGACAGTACTGTTGTGCGACGTCACAAACAGTGCGCGCGCCGCCCTTGACGCAATTGGGATCTTTGACGTCACACACTTCACAACTAACAGGTGCCCGGTTTCCTGTAAACAAGGAGTCCGTGTTTTTGTACTGAGAGCATGCCTTCATTAACAAACAACTGACATGCACAACTACTTTCATATTCATGAGGTAGAAAAATCAAATCGCAGTGGATGCGGTTATCTAGAAATAACCCTCAAGCAGTTTCATGACGACATACACGCGGAAATCCGGGTTAGTGTTTGTCGTAAGAGGCGACGAACAGGATCGGGTAGACAGGTTCGCGGAGTTGGTTGATGCATGTCATCGTATCCTTAATAGTCGAGTCCGAAAGTGATAAATTTCTAAACAGCAAGACCCGTGAAAATCCGGGGTAGAATAGGTCTTTAGCAACCCATGCTTGCCATAAAAGGCGACAATGCTTGTCATAAGAGGCGACTTACGGGATCGGGTGGTCAGGCTCGCTGACTTGGTTGATGCATGTCATCGTTGCGTCAATCACTGGATTATTTACAGACTGCCGTCATATAGCTGGAATATTGCTGAGTGCGGCGTTAAACAACAAACAAACAACTATACAGCAACGTGGCGTTACTAATCACAGCCCTAAGGAGTAACTAACTACAAGTTATTTGAGTCAAAACGATATCAGACAAAACAATTCAGTATGGCCCCGAAGAAACAACCTATAGGACTGAATCGTCCATGAAACACTAAATAATTTGATCTACACTAATTACAATACATGTGTTTCGAAAAGCATTTTTGTGAGTTTTTTTTGCTACTCCAAAAATGTCCTTTTCACATTCCTAAACTAACGGATGTCCGCACTGATAGGGTTTCACAATTATTCCTGCTTTTCGGTTTCAATAAAACCAGATCTTCTACTCTGATACTTTACGCTGATGTTTTTTAACGTTATCATACCCGTGTTGTTTGGTTTTCACCAAAATGGTAAACATCTGAGACCTGCATCACTTTGGGTTTTCCTCGCTAATGAAGCTGCTGACACGCCGTGATATCCCGAATACTTTTTAAAGCGGCGTTAAACTCAAGTCACTCACACACATTGATTTTAACGAGATTGTTCCACTGTTATGCTGAGGTTGTAAACAACAAATACAAGCTCCGCATAAATCGTAAGTATAAACCTGCCTTTAGATCCGGATAGTGGCTCGCCTATCGATCCAGGAGACCCTGAAAAATGATGAGAATCAAGTTATTGCATGTGTGTGTGCGTGCGCGTTTGTGTGTGCGTGCGTGCGTGAGTGTGTCTGTGTGTGTGTGCGTGCGTGCGTGCGTGTATGTGTGTGTGTGTGGGGGGGGGGGGCTGTCTGTGTTCATGCATAATATACCTGCATTGTAACATTATGTTCGGACCTTTTTTTATTTTGTAGTAATATGCCAAATGGTTTTAAAAAGACAAACACATGAACTAAACACAAGGAAGAGCCAACATTTAGGATAATTTTTGTAACCATAAATGTCTGTTTGCTTTTAGATTTAGGTTTGTCAGGTAAGCCGAAAAAGATTCGAACGATTATGATGATTAGAATTTACTCAATGAAACTATTATCACATAATTCATTCATTGTTGTGTATGACCCATATAGGCGGAGATAAGTCCGCATTGCAGTGAAACAGCTGAACTGTAGCTTTATTCATTCACGGTATTAGTTATTGCTGCTGTGTATACCTACAAAACATTTCAGTCGTGGAGGATTGGAGGTTTTTGTCTTACAATACAATAAGTCCCTGGAACGTCACGCTTGTGTTAAGAGCAACTAAAATTGGAATCGAGTGGTAGGCTCTATGACTGGGGTGGAATTATAGGTTTCTGGCGTGTCCAAGGGACGCAACTCTGCACAGGGAATCGCGGCGCCTTAGACGACTGGGCCACCCGTGCCCCCCAAATAACTAGAATATTGCTGAGTGGGGCGTTAAACAAGCAAAGAATAGCTAAATGGGTTCTGTACACCCCTGAAAAAGAACGATCACGCGAGGAAACACGTGCTCAGCGGAATGGAGCCTTTTACTAACCAATGATGAAACGACAGAAAGGTACATCCGTTTAGAATCGAAAAATCGATATTTGTGTTATTACTTACCGATATATAATAGGAGTATTAAGAAGGTATTCATTATCCGCGTACAAGGACCTACAGCATGACCCGTATGGCAAAGATAACACGGACAGGCATGTTACCAAGATCACGCCTTTAAAACACAGATAAGATATATGGGACATTTATTGAGTTAAATATAGCAAAATACGTCCTATTATAAGAAACTATGATAATAGATAACATGTCAAAGAACATGAATTTAAATTCAATATAAATAGTGACTGTTTTGTCACTGGGTATGTAAAGATTGCCAATAGATAAATGATTATATTATTATAAGAATATTGCAACAAATTGAACATGAGCCGGTTGAGTTCCACATAAATACAACTTGGCGCGGGTCTATAGTGCTTGTTTTAGGGATCAGTTTTCAGGCTTCGCCTGCTTGAACTGCTATGTCATCATACCCTAAGAAGCGGTTTTCCGTTCTTGTGGTCAGGTCAGACCATCCCTCTCCCCGTGAAGGCCGTGGAAACTCTCTCGAATGACACCACAATCCTAGGTTTTGTATCCTGTTCTTGACCTAACATCTAAAAAAGGCAAACTGCTTACAAGTGTAATTGGTTTGTACTTTTCTGGTAACTTAGGATTACCCTTCTTCTACATTGGCTTAATAACTATCCATTTAACCATGCTTCTGGTCAGCTTCCAAGTATCAAATATGACATTAAACTATTGAACATTAACAGTCATCTTTCTGTCTGACCAAATCCAGCAGGACCTTCCTGGTCCGATCGGCGTTCCCGTCTGGCCCGACCCAAGCCGAGTCGGCGGTTCCGTCTTCGTCCGACCATCGTTGCCATGTGGCCCGACCCAAGCCGAGTCGGCTATGTATGTTGTAGCTGCACATGTTTGTGTTACAAGTCTCTGGACAAAAGAACGTGACCCTAACCACATAAATTATTTCAGATTCAATCCATTTGATTTAATTTATTTATCTATAATATAGACTTATGATGGTGGGAGTATATACATGAAGGCGTTCTTTTCCCTTTTTTAACTTCAGAGGGTAGATATTTAAAGTCTCTGAAACTACGTCTTTGGAACAAGCTGGTGATTGGCTGACTATTGCCCTCTTTCAAAACGTGAGTTATCTGTCCTTGGCGACCGCTATATAAATAAAACATTATGCGCGTGTGCTGATCAAGGCGTATCTACTTCCGGGAAGTGTCGCACCACTGAGACGCCATACGTCAAGATGGAGTCAAAACTCCGATACTGTTGCATTTGTAGCAATCACTGTAAGAAAGTTGCAACATACCGCCGTTCGTTCTTCCCTTCGGTGGTGAACCGGCTGTCATCTCCGAACATACAGGACCGTTTTTCATCAGTGAAGACGACCCTCTATTACTCTACCAGTTACGTCACTACCAACGATAGTACATTTCGGACCCATGTCAATATCTGACGACGATTTAGCGCCGTCAATAACTGTCATTTGTAAGGTCTTTAAGTCATAATTCATTTACCCCTGATTCGCCTGGCCAGGGTCTGTCGACTAACCAAATGTCCGAAGTTCAATCGTCACTGATGACGTCGGTGTCAGGAATCGATTCCGGAGGTGCAAAGTACGCAAGTACCGGTCTTCAATGGGCGTAGTTACCCAGTGTCTGCCTGTTCTTTGTCTGTTTGATATCTGCCCCGTATGTCTATCACGTTACATCAGATTAGTTACAGCAACACGGGAGCAACCAAACGTTCCAGCAATGTGGGCATGGGTGGCTTCTATCTGTATTACAACCCAGGGCCCGCTCGCGTCGTTTGGGTGTGAGTCGTGGCATTTCTGTGGTGTTTTTTTCATCAGTGTGAGTGCTGACATGCCGTCCGTATCATTCCTATAGCCTTATTGCACGTGTAGTTTCGGTAGCCCAAGCGTCACATGTTTTTTCACCTTTTCGCATTTCCTAAAAAATATCGTGCCGTGGACCACACAACGCACATACACATAGTTTTTATTAAACGGATGTCATATATTCTGAGTTTGTTGTTTTTAGTGGAGAAAAGAAAAATTTAAAAACGTAGCAGATCTTCAAACATTATTTAAGCTTGCCGCGTGGTTACACCTATCGGATCTATTCTCTCGCAGTTTTACTTATAGAATGCCCGCCCATTCGAAAACGGACGGAGGGCGGACGTACGGGCGAACATGCTCGTTGCTTGTGTACCTACAGATACATAGAGGATATGCCGTATTTCACGAGACACATGGGATATCCTATATGTTATATACTTTTTGTGTAGTTGTTGAATTTTATTTTTTTTCATTAAAAACCTGGAAACGTTATATTCTCCTTAGCTTACACGGAGGGGCGTTTCACCACCCCTTGTATAGTGTGACTTAAAAGTAGTTCCGATATTGGGAAATCTTAAATAATGTAAACAAAAGTAATACAAAATATTTGAGGTCACTAAAATTCTTTAGTATGAAGGATCTAATAAAAGCACGTTTGCATTTTAGCGATTGTTAAGTCTGATTGGTCAGATATGATGTAATATCGCTGCATTGTTCTGAACAAAATTGCAACCCACGAATCGCTTAGAGAAGGCAAATATAACGCTTATCCCGGGGTCTGCAACAGTTCGAAGCGCTTGCGCACTCTTCCAAAATGGCGGCGCAACTACCGCTTGGTTGCCTTGACGTAATGAAGAACGTAATAGAAGAGGCTCGATGACGAGCTGATGAAATTCATAACTACTTTGAAGATGTGGAACAGACTGAGGATGATGGGGTGTTAGCTGCCTTTGCTCATTTCCTCGTTGATCCAGTTAAGAATTTCTTGTTCCACTGTCAAAGTCAGCCGCAATTTTGCCTGAGAACTAAGCGACCTCAGCCAGCGATTGTTTCGCTTGCAAGCGGATGAAAGTTTGCGTACTGTTGAAAGGCGAATCGCTGTACATCGTTTGCAAGCGATTGGTGCCTTGCAACGCACCCGAGATGAAGTTACCATTGTCCATCACGTCACAAATTGTAATGTTACGTCATGAGAACGAAAGGTTTCTATGCACATTTTCACGCTAGGTGGCGCAAATGTACTAGAGGTTATAAACCAGTGTGAAAGAATGAGTTTTCCGAAGTTGAGAATATTTGAGATATTTTCATCACAGTGAACATAATACTTGACATTTTACTGCTGTAAACATAACACTTGATATTTCCCTGCTGTGGACATAACACTTTGACGGAATTATTGTCATACAAGAGTGGCCTCCCCTCAAGTTGTCTCCCTTTACCGTAATGTCTGGCCCGTACACGAACTGTTGACTTCCTTTTTACGTTATTTCCACATTGACAAGGCAAAATAATTACAGACGATCATTGATGGAGATAATATAGCTTCATGTTGTTTGTTATTCTCTTGAAAATGTTTCGTTATAAACTGTAAATTTCTCTTTTAACTCGTCAATCTAGTCCGTTCGCCATTTTTGTTACTTGACAAGCGTATATATTCTTTCGATTCCAACAGCTGTCTCGTAGTTTTCAAGAATAGTTTGTTTAGTGAAAGTTGATTTTGTATATAATCGCATCCATATGTATGATACAGAATTTCCGTGACCCTAAATATGTTTGTTAGTTTTGTTTATATTTTAAAAGATTTTGCGAACACGAAACAGCTTTTTAAGTCACAAATACAAGGGGTGGCGAACCGTCCCTGCGTGTTATGTAGGGAGGGTTTACATTTGTAATTAAATAATAAAAATATTCGGAAGACAACCATATAATGAATAGGATATATTCCATGTGACGGGGATGAGAGAAACATGATATTTCACTCGACACATGAAATATCCTCTTTATATAAAATAACTAGGGCTGGGATGATGCACCAACTGTGCGATCCGATACGTATCACGATACTTGCATGTGCTCGTATCCGTGGTGCGTAAGCCATCTTTTTCATAAACAGGATGGCCAAATACCTGGCACACTGATGATTTACAGTTGGCAGTGTCAAGTATGGCACAACAAATGAAAATATTTAAGTTTTCACCATTTACTTGAACTAATGATTAGTGTTTTGTGGAACAGTTATTAAAGCAAACATTTAGGGTCAGAATCGATATGTTTTAGGCCCCCTTAGTATGCGATACTTGGATCGAGAAGTAACAAATCGCGATCCACCGATACATCGGTGTATCGTCCTACCTCTACAAATAACACACTCGAATCTCGAAATAACGGACTATTTGTCCCCCGTAATCATCATATATGCATGTTGTGAGACACTAAGGACAGATACTAATCCCTCGTTGCACCTTGGTAAAAGTTTCTAGTTAACCTGCATATAGCTGACAAATCACGTAAAACGTGTATTTTGAAGTCTTTGTGTATAATTCAAGTGAGAGCGTTTTTTAATAGGTCCGTTTTTAATAAACCGCCGTGGCGTTTCTTTCACTTTAATAGCTTCATGCCCATTTATGCCCAAAGTTATCTCCCTTTGACCGTTACTAAAATACACGGAAGCTTGTTTTCCGAGGTGAAATTAACTAGGTCGACGCTCGATAACCGTAGACCGATTGGATTACATGGTTGTCATCGAACCCTTCCGTGTAATTGGAGGTAAGAGGTTGAAGACAGGTGCACAGATTCCAGATGTTTCTTGATTAGCAGCTGATAATTGATTAGTGAAGGCAGAGACCCGTGTCGGTACATCATGGTATGTGCCGTGTAGAGCATAGGCGTTTGCCTCGGTAACTTATGAAACGGGTCATGTTATTGCAGCATACACGAGTTGAATGGGGACGCAGTGACTACAGGTAAGACACTGTCGTTGGATGTAGACCAAAGTTTAGTTTAATAGCCACACATTTGCATCTGGACGCTGGACGTCGAACCAAGAAGTCGAACTGTCAAAATATCATCAGATAGGCTATACATGGAGACCCGTAAAGAATCGGGTAGAAAATAGGTCTTCAGCAACCCATGCTTGTAGTAAAAGGTGCTTCTCGGAGCCGACTAACGGGATCGGGTGGTCGGGCTCGCTGACTTTGTTAATTGATGCATGTCATCGTATCCAAGTTGCGTAGATCGTTGCTCATGATGTCAATCACTGGATTGTCTGGTCCATGCGTGATTATTCACAGACCAGCGTCATATAGCTGGAATCTTCCTGAGTGTGGCGTTAAACAAAAAACAAACAAACAAACACTCTATCTAAAGCAGTGGGGGATATCTCCCTATTCTAGGATCTCTACAGGCCTCTTTAAAAAGTCTTTGCTTTTAGTGCTAACCTTGAAAAGCCTTGAAAAGCCTTGAAAATTACCAACATAGCTTGAAAACCCCTGAATTTATACAAAACGACATATGCTTGTTAATACTTGTATTGCTATATACATACTTGTGTTATAAAGCAAGCATAAATATGTACCAAGAATGTTTTTAAAGTGAGATTTATCACAGCTATTAATTTGTGTGCCAAAGACCAAAGTGAATTCATGACAAACTTTATGGTATTTTTTGTAATTTTTTGTTAGAAAGATTAACTTCAAATTATCCCAGTGCAGATTTAAGAATTTTCTTTCTTTGCATATCAACACTCAATAATCAGTAAAACAAGAAATATTATTAAGTGAGTTTAGTAATTGGGACAAAAGTCTCAAGTGATGCAGGTATAAGACGTTTACACCGAAATGTTGCTGACAAATCTAGAAACACATACCAGACAAATCTTGGATTTACACATAATCTTAGATTCCTGGCATGACCAGGGTACTCAAACTCAGCTCAAACAGGGAATTGCAGCATCTTAGATGACGTGGCCACCTGTGCTGACAAAAGAAAATATGAATGGTGTGGCATCAGCATGTGAAAATATTGGTAATTAAACTTCCACATCCGGTACATCTGTGATGTTCGATTTCATCTTACATGTTTCTGTGTATAGTAACAGTTGACCTCATGTACACCTCCATAATCGTAACTCAAAACAGTTGAGTAAATGTTGTATGATGCTGCAGTATTCTATTTTCCTCATGTATCACTGAGGTCTTGAATCAAGTGTGGGCCAGGCAGACTTTTGTCTGACATCAAAGTTGTGGATCCACTCTACTATGTCACACTATATCATCCCGGTCACCCATTATGATGACTAGACTGGAGCAGTCTCTATTTCATTATATAAGATATCTACATGATAAATCACAAAGAAGAATGAAGCTGGTTTATTTCACGATAAAACATTGTTCTTTCATGATGTCATTTCTGGAGATTGATGACATCATATATTGGACGACATTATGTTTGAGAGGGAAGTAAGTTGTACCCCATGGATGTAGCTGGGCTAAGTAGATGAACGCAGTGGCCGAACGATCGCATCCAAAAGTGGGAGAGATATGACAATTGGTATTTGGAGAAAAGGTACAGATAATCGACCTGAGGATTGTGTGAATATTTTATCAACACCCTTAAAGAGGCTGTACATAATGTTGATATCTCATTTGAGAAATAAACGACTCATGGTTGTTGTTCATCGTACAATAAAACACTGCCCCGCCCTAATGGTTTATTCTCCCTGCAGTGTTTTATTGTACAATAAACAACACCCATTCATCATTTATTTCTTAAAGAAAGAAATGTAGATAATATCTCACATTATCTTAAACAAGCAGAAAAAATGCAACCAAAAATAACAATTTACAACATTGTTAAACAATGTTATAAGTATTTTATCAAGAGGTGTGTTATGCAATCAGAACATACCAGTGATGAAAAGGGAAAATATCACAGATTTCACGACCACCACAATCTTGTCAGTCACCAGTCGTGATAAGCATGGGGTAGTTAACTCGTGGGGATCTAACTATTGTGACCCAGAAACCCACTTGGTGACACTACAGGTAAGACTACCACTATTACCCCAAGTTATATCTTTAAATATTTTGAAATTCATTTCACCTTTGCATCACTTCAGATATGTGTTATATATATATAGCCTACTTCTGTAAATCATTTCAGTGGTGGAGAAGGATTGACAGCTTGGAACTTGAAAGGTTTCCCTGTTGAAGAAGACACTGACTTTGTTGGAACAGTTCCCTTCATGCTGACCTTTGTTTGAGGAGATCGTGTCTGACTTCACCATGGGGATATGGATGGCCATCTTGTACATGCTGCTGTGTGGAGTGGTTCTAACCCTGGCATATGTTTGGTATGTTCGTGTTTCATTGATTCTTTGTTAAATGTGATATCTGTTTCCCCTAAAACGCATATTTTCTTATTCAATAAGGACTTCTTTTTATTTCTCATCAATGTCATTAATCAAGTAGCAACCCATGCTTGCCGTAAAATGTGACTGCTTGTCGTAAAAGGCGACTAACAGGATCTGACTTGGTTGATGCATGTCATCGATCCCAATTGCGTGGATCGATGCTCATGACATTAATCACTGGATTGTCTGGTCCAGATTCGATTATTTACAGACTGCCGTCATATAGCTGGAATATTGCTGAGTGCAGCGTTAAACAACAATCCAACCAACAACATCAATCAAGTGACCTTACAAGGAAATCAGAGATAATAATCTTTGAACAAATCGATCTAATACTGGTAAAAGCTTCTATACACAAAGTTTAAATATGCAAATCTTGTGAAGATGAAATGTTGTAGTTAATATATTGTAGGCAAAAGTAACAATGATCTTATAAATTTATTGACATTTGAAAAATAATAATTAAAATTATTATGTTATTTCAAATTACAAACCACTTGTTGGATAGACCAAGGTAGCCTAATGCTATTTCATATGTATGAGGGTAAAAGAAGATCACAAAGCTTTGTTTAGCAGCAGCGAGAACTAAGATCTGATTTTAATGAGATTTATGTTTATCGCTAGGAAGATGGATATTTCTTGAAAAGAGCACTCTGCAATTTTTTTCATTTTCATTTTTGTGAGTAAAATTCTTTTTGGCTGGAATGGCTTGTTTTCACTTTATAAGTATTAGCACACATATCTTTACAATATTTTGTGATTCAATTTCAAGTAGTGAGGACTATAATTATAACGACATTAAAACTTTAGTATATAAAAATATAATATTTATCAGAGGTCATTTTATATCCTTTGAGGTGATATTTCATGCCCTTTCCCCAATTAATGTTTAAAAGTGCGCAAAAATATATATGTTACCAAAAAGATTAGCTTAAATTTGTATTTAATAGGATTTATACACACTGACATCTATTTCTATTTGTTGTTTTACTATTAGACGCCCTCCTGATATAAGTTAACTAGCACTACAATACATTGTAACACCTCGTATCTGTACTGTTAGATCTTGACTCACATAGTACTAATATGTTCATTGTCTGGATGGAGTGACCAGAGTAGTTAAGATCCTAGAATAAGTTGAATTTGGAACATATATCTGTAAGTTGGTTGTTTACAACCAATTATTGCGATTATCTAATCTCATTTGGTTCCTAGCATGAGTGAGTGAGTGAGTATGGTTTTACTCCGCTTTTAGCAATATTCCAGCAATATCACAGCGGGGGACACCAGAAATGGGCTTCACACATTGTACCCATGTCGGGAATCGAACCCGGGTCTTCCTGACTGTTTCAAAGACTCCTTTCTTACCCTTGTGTTTAACCACCTCCGTGGTCCAGCAGATGGAGCGTCTGCCCAGAGGTGAGGGGAAGGTCAGTGGTTCAATCGGTGGTCATACCAAGCGACATAAAAAATGGTATTGTTGTTACCCTGTCTGGCTCTCTACATTGAACAAGGACTGGTCAGCTCAGAGTCAGTATGCTGTGGGGTATCCATGTTAATCTCAGTCTTACTTCACTATGTAAGTAATAGTCTTGAACGAGACATTAAACCCCATCCACTCAACAACTCTTGTGTTGCAGGTACATGACTCGTAAATATGGAGTATTCAAGGAACTCGGCGTGAAAGGACCCAAACCAGCTCCTGTCTTGGGACATTTCCATATTTTGACTTCTGAGGTAAGGCTGACATTACTTTGAAAATGAGTGATAATAGTTACAATGGATCATAGAAATTTGATTTCAATTTAGGTGTATCTGTCCCAGGCATTACGTGCAGTGAGATATAGCATTGAATAAGTCCATTTATCCATCTGTCTGTCCATACCACATCAAGCTATTTGTGGTGTGTCTAGAGCAATTTAAGGATTTTTGTTTTATTTGAGTTTGTGTGTTGTTGTTTAACTCATGTCATGTAGAATAGCATTTTGAATGTCATGTAGAATAACATTTTGAATGTCATGAAGAATAGCATTTTGAATGTCATGTAGAATAACATTTTGAATGTCATGAAAAAAAAACATTTTAAATGTCATGTAGAATAACATTGTGAATCTCATGTAGAATAACATTGTGAATCTCATGTAGAATAACATTGTTAATGTCATGTAGAATAATATTGTGAATCTCATGTAGAATAACATTGTTAATGTCATGTACAATAACACTGTTAATGTCATGTAAGTAACATTTTGAATGAAACAGGGAGCAGTGGTTGCAGAGAAAAAATGGTATCGAGAATACAAGAAGGATAAAGCCTTTGGGTAAGAATAGGATCTGTTAACAATTTCTTTGAGTTCAAGTTTTATTTTTGATAAAAGAATTAATTTCCTTATTTTGATCAGTTTCAATAATATATAACAATGAAATCATATGAAATCGGGGACACAAAAAGTGGGTGTCACATTTTGTACCTCTGCAGGGAATCAAACCCTCATCTTCAGTGTGATAAGTGAACACAATACCCACTAGGCTACTCCACTATATCCATAATATCTTTCAGCATGTTCATGCTGTTGCTTCCAACTGAAATCTCCAGCCATCAAATACTTAAGAATTGACTTTGTTATGTTTCTGCATTTATGGAGTTATATGCACGAAAATTGATATACTTACTGTATAAATCTGCGTAGTTCTTTTTGTTGATTTTGGAAATATAAACAGAATAAAGCCTTGCTTGGTTAGTCAATCAAATGCCACCAAATAATTTGTAATTTATTTTTTCAATAACCCTGAAATCACCAAAATATGTTTATCTCCTAATTCAAACCCATGTTCAGTGTATCCTGTTATGGCAAGGGGACACTACTCTAACCACTGGGGCACATCCATGCCCACTCTCTTAACAAAGGCACCTAGCCAGTATGAAGGCAGAGTGAAAGTGAAAATTTAAATTCATATTCAAAAACAATTACAAGAAGTTTTTATCATAAATAGTCCATCTAGCATATATTTGTTTGATGGTGGCCCATAAATAATTGCCTCTATACCCGAAACACCAATGATTGATATAATGAGCAACGTCCATGGTAACGGTGACAAGTCAACCAAGTCCCTACAACCAGCATATGTTGCTGGTGATCTATTCTAACCAGGAATCCCTACAGAGTTCCACTGAAAGTATTAATGGCCACAATACAATGACGATGGCCATCTCCCACAAAGCAATGTATGCCCCAGGATTCCAACTCACTTTGTAAATGAGGCACATCAGCATCTGGGATTCCCAACTTACTGTCCACAGCAGGCAAATTGGGGAAAAAATAATGATTTTGTTAAAAATTGGGATATTTTAAAGTTCCTATTTTTTAAACTTCACAGGTATTTTAACATGATTTACTTTGTATTTAAACATTGCATTTTGTGCAATAATGTAAACCTAATTTTTAGAACTTTTTCCTCTTTTATATTCCTGTCATCAGTTAAACACAAAGCCACAAAATTATTTATAAACATGAAATGGAAGTTTTTATATTTGAATCTTGGATATTTGCTGCAGACTTGGGGTCGAATATGGCCTCTGATAAATCCCTGTATGGTCTGGACTTAGTATGGTCTCCAGACAGTGGACACAAGCCTTATACAATGATTACATTTTTCATCTGTATTTAGGATATTTGAAGGAGGCTACCCAATGATGTTCATCACTGACATCAATATCATGAAGGAAGTCCTCATGAAGAAGTTCCACTGCTTCGTCAACAGAAGGGTTTGACATGTTTATTCCTCTCTGGACACTTATTATAGTGAATACGGTAGTTGGGAATCTTGAGTCTCAGGAACATCTGCATATATCATGTTTGCCGTTATTACCTTAGGAGTGAAAGAAACTGTACCTCTCAGCTGATTTTATGAAATACTTGATTTTCAATTGATTGCATCTTAAATTATATTCTTTTTAAATTAACTGTACTAGTGCTTAGTCAGCACTCAAAGAATACTTCTAGATGGGTTTTTTTTTTTAATAAATATAATTATATTTAAAACTTTAAAAAAATTGTTGTTGTCTATTCACATAGTACACAACTACTAATGGGTATCTTAGACATCTTATGTTTTTTGTCAGCACAAATTGACAACATTTCAAACGTGGCCGGGTGGTTGCAGATCCATTTCTTTTCCAAGTCTCCAAATTTGTTTTTACACAAAACTACCCAGCCGTAGATAACGTTTTACAAACTTACAGGAATGAGCGATGGTTAAATAAACATAATCAAATTTAAGTTTACCGTATACCCCTTCTGCACTGCAGTTATCTTTAAAAGATTATGTAAGATAAACAAGAAAATGCAATCTCATTAAAATCAGATCTTAGTTGTCACTAGGCTAAACAAAGATCTGAGGACATCCCATTACGGGTCACGTCAGAACGACCTTTCATCTGACCAATCAAAGCGCCGCTTAGCAGATCATGAAAGTGACATTCGGAATGTGTTTTCAAATTATGCAACCTCGAAAACGTTAACACGGGGTATTCAGAACAACAGTTAAGGCCCGTACGACTGATTCTGTCCATATTATTGTCTATCTCTTGCTTCCGTGAGATAAACATTTGAACGGAGGAGGCGTTGTATGGTAAGTTGGAAGCACTGCCATACAATCTCAACCATATGCTAGACATCCTGTAATGTTCATTGGTTCAGTTTTCAGAATTTTAATCGAGAACTGTGTCAACATATTTCTCAAGCGTAGTCTGAAATGGAAGTCGCCAGGTTGAAACGAGTGCCGTTAGGCTCGATAAAGCTGCTTTCTAATTGGCTAGCATCTATTTCTTGTTAGACATCTCAGGGGTCGGTCAAAGTCCCCGAAAGGTCATTCTGACGTGACACGTAATAGGATGTCCTGAGATCTATGGTTAGCGGCAACAAGAACCTAGATCTGATTTTAATGAGATTGAAGAAAATGTGGGCTCTCATATATAGTTTTAGTCTAAGTAGGGGCTGCTTATAAAGATGACTTACAGATTCGTCAAGAAGTTGGTTAAGGGGGCTTGTTGGAGCAGAGCGGTTAATAAGGCGAATACTGAATACCAAGAGTGACTGTATTTATTATTTGTTATCAGGGAAGTTGTGAAATTTGATTTGTAGTTGAAACTCTGGTGTTGATACATTACTATATATTCACTGGCTCTGTTAGTTGTGGAGCTAATATGTTTAATCATTATTTAGTTTGTTCCTATGTCTGTAGGCGTTTGAAGGGGTGAATGACTACCCACTGAACTATGCTATGACAACAATACAAGACGATCACTGGAAACACGTCAGGAGTCTGCTGTCTCCAACGTTTAGTTCAGGAAAACTCAAAAAGGTATTCCATGGTTAAAAGTACAGCTATTCAAAAGTGATCTTTTAATTTTAGCTCACCTGACTGAAAGTCAAGAGGACAGTGAGCTAGCCGAGCGGTTAAAGCATTTGCTCGTCACACCAAAGACATGGGTTCGATTCCCCTCATGGGCACAATGTGTGAAGCCAATTTCTGGTGACCTTGCTGTGATATTGCTGGAATATTGCTAAAAGTGACATAAAACCAAACTTACTCACTCACTCACTCACTCGACCCTTGAAGATTCTGGGGTAGAATAGGTCTTCAGCAACCCATGCTTGCCGTAAAAGATGACTATGCTTGTTGTAAAAGGCGACTATCGGGATTGGGTGGTCAGGCTCGCTGACTTGGTTGATGCATGTCATCGTATCCCAATTGCGTGGATCGATGCTCATGATACTAATCATTGGATTGTTTGGTCCAGACTCAATTATTTTAAAGACCATCGTCATATAGCTGGAATATTGCTGAGTGCAGTGTTAAACAACAAACAAACAAACAAACCCATACTCACTCACTCACTCACTGTTATTTATTTTGTACCTTGAGTTTCATTATTCATATGCATATAATGAAATTTTGACTGAATGGCCAAACATAATGATCCTCCCAAAGGTATTATTAGTACTTTTACTCTGAAAAAATGGTCATGCTTTTTGTGGACCCTGATTTCTGTGTGTACTTTTACAGATGGTTGGTCTGGTTAACAAAACTTCAGATAATCTGGTGCAAAACTTCAGGGTCAAGGCTGAGTCTGGAGAGGAATTTGAAGTGAAAGAGTAAGTGAGATTTAATGTATTTACATGAATCAATACTAATCAGGGCTGATATAGCTATACAACACATGCACCAGTGCAGCCTATTATCGAAAAATGCAACCTATTATTAAGATTACATGTAGGGGCATTTAAATAAAATTCCAAGGTTGTGTCCTAAGGCTAACCCTGACTTGTCCTTACATCATCAAAATATTCTGTAGAAAGCAATCTCATTAAAATCAGATCTTAGTTCTCTTAGAGCATCGCTTACCAGATCATGAAAGTGTCAGTCGGAATGTGATTTTTAATCATGCAACCTAGTCAAGGACCAACCTGTAGGTCCCGTGACCAAATCATGGAAACAAAGGTTTGAAAGTGTTTTTGAGTTTCCTGATGTATACTGAACAATTTTGACTTGGGCTGCCCGGTTGAAAATCCCGGGCATTATTGTGTCGATATGCATATCAAATTACTCGTCCAGTCATAAGGAACCTAGAAATATATAGTTTGTTATACTTCCGACCTTAAATGGGGGAGCTATGGCCAAAAACGTTGAAAGGTCAACGCACTTTTGGCAGTCGGTGAAATTCACAAACACAGTTAACATTGTCCGATAGTCATGATTTTAGTGTCTAATAATATATTTTCTGACATGACAAATTCAACCAAGCAACTTTTAAAAGTAAAAAGGGTTACCTTGACCTTGAAAATCGAAAATGGTTGCCATGCTTCAGCAAAGTCATTGGAAACAGGATCCTTGGCCAATAACGCAGCATATTTCAGAATCCATTGTCCAGAAATGCTTACTTGCCAATACGGTATTCACAGCCAGCACTGCCTGAACATCTGAGTGATGCCAGAGCAAACTGCTCTCTAGAATCGGACACAGATTCTAGATTCAAGTGATTGTGACAGTGATTCCGACTCTGCATCTGATCGGTATGACACAGAGTAGGATGATGAACTGTGCACTAAAGTGAGGTTAGAAAAGCATTACTGGACAATGGATTCTGAAATATGCTGCGTTATTGGCCAAGGATCCTGTGACTTTGCTGAAGCATTACAATTCTTCATGCAGCCAACCATTTTCGATTTTCAAGGCCAAGGTAACCCTTTTTACTTTTAAAAGTTGCTTGGTTGAATTTGTCATGTCAGAAAACATATTATTAGACACTAAAATCATGACTATCGGACAATGTTAACTTAACTGTTTCTTATGACTGGACGAGTAATTTGATATGCATATCGACACAATTTTGAATTTTGACCCCTGTGTGACTTTTGTTGACCCTTTCCCAAAATCCTCGGGATTTTCAACCGGGCAGCCCAAGTCAAAATTGTTCAGTATACATCAGGAAACTCAAAAACACTTTCAAACCTTTGTTTCCATGATTTGGTCACGGGACCTACAGGTTGGTCTTCTAGTAACCTCGAAAACTTTAACACGGTGTATTCCAAATGATAGTTTCGGGTTTAACAACTGAATCCATACAATGTAGACCATCTATTCACCATTCCAGAATGTTCTTTTGTTCAGGTTTCAAATTTTTAGTCGAGAATTCATCAAAATATGTTTTGAAGCATAGTTGCCAATTTGAAAGCTGCCTTCTGATTGGCTTATGTCGACTTCTTGTCAGTCCTCCCATTGGCCGGTCAAAGTTCATGCAAGGTTGGTCTGATCTGATTTTAATGAGATTGAAACTTGACAAACAGATTAATCTAATGGTGAACTGGTGCCTTTCGATGATTTGCGATATACAGCCTTATTTTTTTGTTCACTGAACTGAAGGTATCCAATGGCAATGAACCAAAAGTGGGGGATAAGTAGCCAAACTCATTTCTGAATTGCACCAGAATGGGGGGGCTATGTCCTCTGATGATTCTTGTTATTGACAGGTTGACTGGTGCGTACACCATGGACACCATTTGCAGCACAGCATTCGGCATTGAGATCGACTCAAAGAATGATCCAAACAATGCTTTTGTGACGGGAGCCCAGGCATTTTTTAAACCAAAGGTCTGGCTGATTATCCTGATTTGTAAGTGTCTCAAGATGGTACTGATTTGTGTACACTGTGTATCCCAATTGCCTGGATTGATGCTCATGATGTCAGTCACTTAATTGTCTGGTCCAGATGCAATTATTTACAGACCGCCGTCATATAGCTGGAATATTGTTGAGTGCGGTGTTAAACATACAAACATATTTCTCCTTCTTGTCCCCTTTACCCATGGGGATTCTGGGTTATAGGTCCCCAGTATGCTTGTCTTACCCAAACCTTGTACGACACTTCTCATCAGGGTTTTACATGACTCAGAAATATGCTTCCACAATGCTCAAATGTATAGAATGGATGCAGAAATAAATATATATTGTGTCCCAAGGGATGCACAACAATATTCCTTGTACCAAAGTCTTAACAAGAAATATAAAGATCCTGTGATTAAAGTAATTATTAAATCTTACGGTACAGTACACTTCACCATTTCATTACTTTACAGGACCCTCATATTTCCTCAAAGGACACTCGAAAATAGTAATTGGGGGTCCTCTGGACCCCTAGTTAGTTTTCATAATATCAATTACTGGTTTGTCTGAAATAGCTAGAATATTGCTGACTGTGGCATAAGAGACAAAACATTTGGGATTCTGTGACTGAATAGGTTCCCAACACCCTATGATTTCTCCCTGAGCTGACTAACAAGGGTAAAGAGGTTATAATGTACATCGGGGCGATGGGTTAGCCCTGTGGTTAAAGCATTCACTCATCACACAGAAGACCCGGGTTCGATTCCCCACATGGTTACATTGTGTGAAGCCCATTTCTGGTGTCCCCCGCTGTGATATTGCTGGAATATTGCTAAAAGCGGCAAAAAACCACACTCACTCACTCACTCACTCACTCACTATAATGAACATCCTGCCTTATTATCTGTCATTGTGACCACCAAATGGTATCAGTCTTTGCTTATCACCAATCACATGTTTGACTGGGTGCCGTTTTACAGAGCGATCTTGCGCTAAGGTGATCGTAAGTCCCATTCCTTAACAGAGATTTACAACAGTCGTAGCACTAAGGTTGTTTTGTACAACTGCACCCAGGCTTACACTTGATAATGTACAGGCTGCCATGAGTCAGCTTGATGACTGAGGTGTAAAACAACATACACCAACTCTCTATTACATCATCTCTTTCAGTCTTCTTTCCATTCCTTGCTCCATTGTTAAAGCTGTTGAACATAAGCCTCTGGCCGAAGAGTCTCACCCATTTCTTTGTGAAGGTCACTGATGACGCCATCAAACAGCGGAGAAGCAGTACCCAGGTAATTGTGTTCACGGCGTCGAAGAGCCTCACCCGTTTCTTTGTGAAGGTCACTGATGATGCCATCAAACAGCGGAGAAGCAGTACCCAGGTAATTGTGTTCACGGCGTCGAAGAGTCTCACCCGTTTCTTTGTTAAGGTCACTGATGACGCCATCAAACAATGGAGAAGCAGTACCCAGGTTATTGTGTTCACGGCGCCGAAGAGTCTCACCCATTTCTTTGTGAAGGTCACTGATGATGCCATCAAACAGCGGAGAAGCAGTACCCAGGTAATTGTGTTCTCGGGGTCAAAGAGCCTCACCCGTTTCTTTGTGAAGGTCACTGATGATGCCATCAAACAGCAGAGAAGCAGTACCCAGGTAATTGTGTTCACGGCGTCGAAGAGCCTCACCCGTTTCTTTGTGAAGGTCACTGATGATGCCATCAAACAGCGGAGAAGCAGTACCCAGGTAATTGTGTTCACGGGGTCAAAGAGTCTCACCCGTTTCTTTGTTAAGGTCACTGATGATGCCATCAAACAATGGAGAAGCAGTACCCAGGTAATTGTGTTCACGGCGTCGAAGAGCCTCACCCGTTTCTTTGTGAAGGTCACTGATGATGCCATCAAACAGCGGAGAAGCAGTACCCAGGTAATTGTGTTCACGGCGTCGAAGAGCCTCACCCATTTCTTTGTGAAGGTCACTGATGATGCCATCAAACAGCGGAGAAGCAGTACCCAGGTAATTGTGTTCACGGGGTCGAAGAGTCTCACCCGTTTCTTTGTGAAGGTCACTGATGATGCCATCAAACAGCGGAGAAGCAGTACCCAGGTAATTGTGTTCACGGCGTCGAAGAGTCTCACCCATTTCTTTGTGAAGGTCACTGATGATGCCATCAAACAGCGGAGAAGCAGTACCCAGGTAATTGTGTTCACGGCGTCGAAGAGCCTCACCCGTTTCTTTGTGAAGGTCACTGATGATGCCATCAAACAGCGGAGAAGCAGTACCCAGGTAATTGTGTTCACGGGGTCGAAGAGTCTCACCCGTTTGTTTGTTAAGGTCACTGATGACGCCATCAAACAATGGAGAAGCAGTACCCAGGTAATTGTGTTCACGGCGTCGAAGAGCCTCACCTATTTCTTTGTGAAGGTCACTGATGATGCCATCAAACAGCGGAGAAGCAGTACCCAGGTAATTGTGTTCACGGCGTCGAAGAGCCTCACCCGTTTCTTTGTGAAGGTCACTGATGATGCCATCAAACAGCGGAGAAGCAGTACCCAGGTAATTGTGTTCACGGCGTCGAAGAGCCTCACCCATTTCTTTGTGAAGGTCACTGATGATGCCATCAAACAGCGGAGAAGCAGTACCCAGGTAATTGTGTTCACGGCGTCGAAGAGTCTCACCCATTTCTTTGTGAAGGTCACTGATGATGCCATCAAACAGCGGAGAAGCAGTACCCAGGTAATTGTGTTCACGGCGTCAAAGAGCCTCACCCGTTTCTTTGTGAAGGTCCCTGATGATGCCATCAAACAATGGAGAAGCAGTACCCAGGTAATTGTGTTCACGGCGTCGAAGAGCCTCACCCGTTTCTTTGTGAAGGTCACTGATGATGCCATCAAACAGCGGAGAAGCAGTACCCAGGTAATTGTGTTCACGGGGTCGAAGAGTCTCACCCGTTTCTTTGTTAAGGTCACTGATGACGCCATCAAACAATGGAGAAGCAGTACCCAGGTAATTGTGTTCACGGCGTCGAAGAGCCTCACCTATTTCTTTGTGAAGGTCACTGATGATGCCATCAAACAGCAGAGAAGCAGTACCCAGGTAATTGTGTTCACGGCGTCAAAGAGCCTCACCTATTTCTTTGTGAAGGTCACTGATGATGCCATCAAACAGCGGAGAAGCAGTACCCAGGTAATTGTGTTCACGGCGTCGAAGAGCCTCACCCGTTTCTTTGTGAAGGTCACTGATGATGCCATCAAACAGCGGAGAAGCAGTACCCAGGTAATTGTGTTCACGGCGTCGAAGAGCCTCACCCGTTTCTTTGTGAAGGTCACTGATGATGCCATCAAACAGCGGAGAAGCAGTACCCAGGTAATTGTGTTCACGGCGTCGAAGAGTCTCACCCATTTCTTTGTGAAGGTCACTGATGATGCCATCAAACAGCGGAGAAGCAGTACCCAGGTAATTGTGTTCACGGCGTCGAAGAGCCTCACCCGTTTCTTTGTGAAGGTCACTGATGATGCCATCAAACAGCGGAGAAGCAGTACCCAGGTAATTGTGTTCACGGGGTCGAAGAGTCTCACCCGTTTGTTTGTTAAGGTCACTGATGACGCCATCAAACAATGGAGAAGCAGTACCCAGGTAATTGTGTTCACGGCGTCGAAGAGCCTCACCTATTTCTTTGTGAAGGTCACTGATGATGCCATCAAACAGCGGAGAAGCAGTACCCAGGTAATTGTGTTCACGGCGTCGAAGAGCCTCACCCGTTTCTTTGTGAAGGTCACTGATGATGCCATCAAACAGCGGAGAAGCAGTACCCAGGTAATTGTGTTCACGGCGTCGAAGAGCCTCACCCATTTCTTTGTGAAGGTCACTGATGATGCCATCAAACAGCGGAGAAGCAGTACCCAGGTAATTGTGTTCACGGCGTCGAAGAGTCTCACCCATTTCTTTGTGAAGGTCACTGATGATGCCATCAAACAGCGGAGAAGCAGTACCCAGGTAATTGTGTTCACGGCGTCAAAGAGCCTCACCCGTTTCTTTGTGAAGGTCCCTGATGATGCCATCAAACAATGGAGAAGCAGTACCCAGGTAATTGTGTTCACGGCGTCGAAGAGCCTCACCCGTTTCTTTGTGAAGGTCACTGATGATGCCATCAAACAGCGGAGAAGCAGTACCCAGGTAATTGTGTTCACGGGGTCGAAGAGTCTCACCCGTTTCTTTGTTAAGGTCACTGATGACGCCATCAAACAATGGAGAAGCAGTACCCAGGTAATTGTGTTCACGGCGTCGAAGAGCCTCACCTATTTCTTTGTGAAGGTCACTGATGATGCCATCAAACAGCAGAGAAGCAGTACCCAGGTAATTGTGTTCACGGCGTCAAAGAGCCTCACCTATTTCTTTGTGAAGGTCACTGATGATGCCATCAAACAGCGGAGAAGCAGTACCCAGGTAATTGTGTTCACGGCGTCGAAGAGCCTCACCCGTTTCTTTGTGAAGGTCACTGATGATGCCATCAAACAGCGGAGAAGCAGTACCCAGGTAATTGTGTTCACGGCGTCGAAGAGCCTCACCCGTTTCTTTGTTAAGGTCACTGATGATGCCATCAAACAGCGGAGAAGCAGTACCCAGGTAATTGTGTTCACGGCGTCGAAGAGCCTCACCCATTTCTTTGTTAAGGTCCCTGATGATGCCATCAAACAATGGAGAAGCAGTACCCAGGTAATTGTGTTCACGGGGTCGAAGCGTTAACAACATGGAGTAAATAATTATTGTTTGCTGTAAATGAAGACAAGGGAGGTAACTACTGTTTCTAAATACTTAGGTCTTCTCCCAATTCCAATGCTCTTCTCACTACCAATGTTCTTTTTTGTAGATAATGATATATTTGTAAGATTTTGGACTGTATCATGTCTTTGAATGTCATCTAGAAGTGAAAGAGAGATTATTGATGTCAACTTCTTTCTTATGAGGAACACAACATTTCGGAGTATATGCTTACTCCTTCATCAGATGAATGAGTGCCATGAGGCAGAGATTATATGCATGTACATATAAGAACAACAAAAGTAATAAGATAACAAAGGTGGAAACTTGACAAAGGAAGCCAACAGTTCATTAGCGCTGATAGGTGATTAGCAATGGACAAATGGTATTATATTTTGCTGACACCTCCCCCTCCACCAAATACATGATGTAACATTTAATCATGAATCATCCCCTATTCATGAAAAGAACCAGCTGCAGGTACCATACATAATATATGACTAAAATCAAGGAGTTTCGATTTATATTGAATTGTGTTCAAATTTAGAAAAACAATTATTTAAAAAACTAGAACTGTGTCGTTTTTTCCATGTCATTTGATGGCCACAGATGTGTTTTTCTATGGACTTGAAACTATTTCAGCAATTTCCTTTGTAGAAAAGTAACGACTTCCTCCAGATGATGATAGATGCAGAGGTTGGTAGTGAGGAGGTAGACAAGGAGATTGATCATAGCGACAGTCTGATGACGTCGCAGACCTGGAATAGCAAGGGTGAGTGAAATTGATGGGAGATTTGACACGACAGCAACTGCACTAGTCTTACATGTGTGGCTGAACCGAGTACTTTTGTCGTGGTTTGTTATGTTAAGTTTATAAAATCTACCCTATTATGTTTAAACTAAAATTTGTTTGAATGACCCCAGAACAGGTATCTTTGAACTTGGGAACCTGAAATTTGATCAGATCAAAGTGAGTGAGTGAGTTGGGTTTAACGCCACTTTTAACAGTTTTCCAGTTATATCACAGTGTGTCAGCTTAATGTGGTAGGTAAGCCCGAAGTGATGCAGGTCTCAGACGTTTACCACTTCGGTGAAACCCACAAGCGTGGATATGGTGCTGACAAACCTAGAAATATATTCGGGGCAAACCGGGATTCGAACACACAATCATAGGTTTTGGTGTGCCCTAGGGACGCAACTCTGCATAGCGAATCGCAGCACCTTAGACGACTGGGCCACCTGTGCCCCCGATCAGATTATAACATGATGGCTAGAACTGTCATTTCTTAAGACAAAACTGCATGTTCCTTAAAGAATTTTGATACTCAGCACATAAGTTGTATGTGTTTAACATGCATGTTTTGTCCTTCATATACCTTTGTGTCTGCTACACTCTAATTACAAGACTGGTCCCCTACACAGACAACTATTATAATGTATCAAAGTTTGATTCAGTAGAAATACCATAGGATGCCTGTTGTGTAGCCATTTCTGAAACATTTTGGTGTACTTTCATCTTAGTCATCTTAGGTCGAAAGGCCACTCCACTATATACTCGTAACTAAACCCATCTTAAACATAATGTTAAACCTCATTCCAGACCACCTCCGTGGTCTAGTGGTAGAGCGTCAGCCCGGAGAGCGGAGGGTCCTGCGTTTGATCCCCGGCCGCGTCATACCAAAAGATGTTAAAAGATGGTACTTGTTGTTACCCTGTCTGGCATCGGCATTAAGGGGCTAAAACAAGGACTGGTCAGCTCGGAGTCAGTATACTGTGTCTGAGTGGGGTATTCATGTTAAACTGCGGCATGGTATCTCAGTGAGCTAGCACTATAAATCGGCTTTAGTCCGGACTAGTACAAGCAGCCACACAAACACACACACGTGCATGCACGTCGCTATATAAGTGCAATAATCTTGGACGCGACGTTAAACATCATTCCACCTCACCTCTAGTGTTCCCAACAATTCTGGTGAGCTACAGAACCTGATGACATTTTTTGTCAATTGTTTGCAATCGTTTTCATACCAGGCTTGACAACTAATGACATCCACGGCCAGGCTCTCACCTTCCTGATCGCGGGATACGACACGACAGCCACCACCATGGCTTTCCTGATCTACGAACTGGCCCTGAACCCGGACATCTGTGAACGAGCCATCCAGGAGGTGGACAGGGTGCTGGGAGACAATGTGAGTACCGGATCACAAGAACGCTCAGTGAGGATACGCAGCACAATGTTGATGAATGTGATCATGATGATTTTTTAATAATAAGCAGCCTCATGAAGCCTGTCATGATGTCTGCACAAAGATTATTAACAATAGAGATTATACTTCCACAAACTTCTTCCAAATAGACTCGGGGCATTCTTATGACATGAACAATGATAATGTCAAAGGTCAAGGTCACAAGATAGAAAAACATTTGTGATCAAACTTTTTAAAGTAATATTGATGTGTTTGCTATTAAATTTGGTATATACCTATTTAGGATGTGCCCTGCTTTAAAAGGATTTGGGTAATGATCAGTGAAAGGTCAAGGTCAGCATTTAGTATTTTTCAAACTTCGGTTACCGGTATATCATCGTCAGATTCTCAGGTATGCTTACCCATATAGGCGTTGAACTTTATCTTTGCGTGGTTCTGAACAATTCCTTCCTCATCACCATATCAATTGCATTTATGTTAAGAGGTCAGTTAAGGTCCTGGTTATACCCCTACAGGCACGTGGGGCACGGGGGGCCCAGTCGTCTAAGGCGCCGCGATTCGCTGTGCAGATTTGCGTCCTTGGGTATACCAGAAACCTATGGTTCTGGGTTCGAATCCTGGTTCACCCCAACTGTTTCTAGGTTTGTCAGCACCATACCCATGCTCGTGGGTTTCACCGACACGCCACAATATAACTGGAATACTGTTTAAAGCGGCGTTAAACCCAACTCACTCACTCACTCACTCACTCACTCACTCTACAGGCATGGAACTTTATATCTGCTTTTATCTTTACAAATCCAACCAATGAAATGTTGGTGACATGTCTATCAAAGGTCAAGGTCATCTTTGAGGTTATGGTGAAACATGGTAGTATTGTTCATTGCCAGTTATTGATGTACTTGTACTTGTACAACCCTGAGATATGGTAATTGTTGGCTTGTACCAAGTTGTCTTGATTATGGTCAAGGCAACGAGCTATGTTTTCAGGCTGGGTGTACAATGTGGTATGTTAAAACTTTGTGGAAATCAACGAAGAAGGGTCTGCTGCTGTTTAAGCAAGTTCTTGCAGACACTTCCAGTTTTTGCATCCATGTTAATATGTAATCAGTGCAATCCATTATGGAATCATGCTAAATAAGGTGGTTGCTGAACCACGTCAACAATACATGAATTTTCAGCATTTGATGATATGATCTGATCATTTGATCATTGTCAAACAGACTCTCATGAAACTGTTTCCTAAATACAAACCTACCAGTGACATACCAATGTGCAACTAAGAGAACTTATTTCTACTTTTAAGTGTCACCAATTGAATCATAAATAAAAAGAGATTTCGCAAATCATTTCCAGATTCATATCCATCTGGTCATCTTTTTTATCAAAGTTGGGTTTAACCCCGCTTTAAACAGGATTCCAGTTATATCGCGGCGTGTCAGCTTAATTTGGGAGGAAAGCCCGAAGTGATGCAGGTCTCAGACGTTTACCACTTCGGTGAAACCCACGAGCACAGGTATGGTGCTGACAAACCTAGAAACATAATCGGGGTGAACCGGGATTCGAACCCACAATCATAGGTTCCTGGCGTGCCCAAAGGGACGCAACTCTGCACAGCGAATCACGGCGCCCTAGACGACTTGGCCACCTATACCCCCTTATCAAGTGTAAGAAGATTAGTTTGTGTTATCCTTCTTTAAGAAAAGCCTTTTTTTCTTTTTTACCCAGCATGATGTTTCCTATGAGCAGTGTGCCGAGCTTCATTACCTGGATATGTGTGTCAGTGAGTCACTCCGACTCTTTCCTCCAGCAACCAGGTCAGCATTTCTGCAGAAGTTCGGGGCAGGATGTTTTTTTCATTTGTTTTATGTCTCCTCAATTTTATTTCTCCCTGTAAATGGGTCAGTGGGCCACAATTGCTTTAGTGACCTCTGTATTAAGGTCAAGGTCACAAGATATAGAGGTCCCATAAAACATGTCTCACACCACATGACACTTTTATTACACTTTGTAAAGTCCATGTAAGTGCTAAATGTGATGTAGAAGTTCAGTTCTCAGCTTGAGGAGCAAACGCTTAAACCGCTAAGCTAACCCACCAGAAACAGATTGATAAGCATCACTATAAGCTTCCAGTAAGAAAATATATTCATGTGTACATGATTGAGTAAGTCAATTTCTTAATGACTCACTTGCAGGTTCGACCGGCACTGCACTCAGGACGTTGAGGTCTGCGGGATCAAGATCCCGAGTGGGATGGACATAGCGATCCCTGTGATTGCCATCCACTATGACGAGGAGTACTGGCCAGACCCAGAGAGATTTGATCCAGAAAGGTATACATCAGCCTTCAAATTCATCTAGGACTTGGATGGTCTAGCCGTGTAAGGTGTTCAAAGTTGCGTCCCTTGGGCATGCCAGAAATCTATTATTGCGAGTTCGAATCCTGGTTTGCCCAAATTTTGTTTCTAGGTTTGTCAGCACCCTACCCATACACACGGGTTTCACCAAAGTGGTAAACATGTGAGATCTGCATCACTTCCGGCTTTCCTCCCATATTGAGCTAACATGCTGTGATATAATTGGAATACTGTTCATAGCAGTGTTAACACAAGCTCGCTCACTCACTCGAAATTCATCTCAGCCCAAGACTACTGAATTGTGTTTGGACAACTAAAAATCTAATGATGGTAGTCCACAATGACATTTGAAGGCTATAATTCTTTACTAGTTGTCCATGATTTCATTTTGCAAGCCAACATTCTTTTAATGTCTTTGGAAGCATGTGGTACTTTGACATGGCAAGGATGGCATATGATGTACATGGCCTTCTTTTTTGGGACACATTGATCACTCATGTCAAGGGTCAAGGGTCAAGGTAATCGTCTATGTCATAGCCTGAAAAAGTTTGTTTACCTCCTAACTCACAAAAGATTTACTGTAGGTCAATCTCATGAGTGACCTCCATATAAGGTCAAGGTCATTCATATTATTTTTTTGCCATTTTCACGAAAATAATTTTTTCGGCAAACAGTTTTAAAGTTTTATGCGTATTGTGATTATATTAGTTGAATACTTATGTACGACAAACATATGTAGTATTAAATGTCAAGTTCACTCTCAAGGTCATACAATAAAAAATTGTATTAGGTTCATGATAACTCAAAAAGTGTGTATTATTGTGGGATTTGGTACACATGTATATTATGCATAGGATGTAGTATTGATGTGGTAAGGTTTTGAGGGACATTCCTTGAAAATTCAATGTCGCTATGGTGGTCAATCAAAAGTTTTGTTTATATTATTTGTGTACTGAGCTCCAGCACATTTTCAAATTAAAAAAATCAGGCATGTAATTGACTGAAATTGAGGGTCAAGGTCATCAAGTGCACATAACTTGAGGAATGGGAATTTATGTTTTAAGACGTGTGTGGAAGTGTGTAAAATGTCATTAATAAGGTAGCTATGGGCAAAGACTTTGCGTGTGCCAGTATGCACTTATTTCAGAAGAAGCGTGTTTGTTTACAAACAAGAGAAAGGCCTAGTTACGTGATATGTAAATAAGCTTGTGGCAGTGGCGTAATGCTAAGTGATCACTGCGCCAGAGTGTGAGTTTGGCCTTATGTTTCCAACGTCCATGTTCCTAGATTCACCCCTGAAGCAAAAGGAAAACGCAATCCTCTTGCATATGTGCCATTTGGTGCCGGCCCTAGGAACTGTATTGGGATGAGACTGTCTCTAATGGAAGCAAAGATTGGGATTGCCAGACTTCTGCAGAACTTTAAACCAATCAGGAGTGAGAAAACTCAGGTAACAAAACATTGTATATAAATGTCTATCCTTCTTTATTTATGATCATTTGAAACATGATAACTATACCCATGTAAGTAGAAAAAATGTGGAAATAGAATATTGACGTGAGTCCCATGCGTCATTACATATGGACAAATTAATCGTTTAACTGGAAAGTTGAGGTGAAACTGGGTTTAACGTCGTGTTCAAGATTATTGCACTTATAATGCGCATTGCATTCATGTATGTGTCTGGCTGCTTGTACCCAATGCCGGTTTTGTAGTAATGGCACTCACAAATGTCCAGAAGTTTGTCATTGTCGAATGCCTCCATTCTTGAATCCATAATAATGTTGGAGTGAGTGAGTGAGTGAGTTTGGTTTTAAGCCGCTTTTAGCAATATTCAAGCAATATCACGGCGGGGGACACCAGAAATGGGCTTCACACATTGTACTCATGTCGGGATTCGAACCCGGGTCTTCAGCGTGACGAGCGAATGCTTTAACCACTAGGCTACCCGACGACCCCTAATAATGTTGGAAGGTGGAAGAAATTTGGTGTTTACAACTTGGTGTCCAATCTGTAGATGAGACACAAGTTATGTTCTAGCGACTCTTCCATCCCCAAACCTTTTTGAATGATCAAGCCTGCCATGTTCATGTAAACAAGGGCAGTAACCTCGATGCCGTCGACAGCACTCGGCTGTTTATTTTGCTTGCACTGACAATTACTACAAATCAATTTCTTTGCACATCACAATATCTAAATGATACCTCAGGAAGGTGCAGGTCATCCTGAGGAGCCTTGAACCAGTTTTATGTAACCTCTATTTAAGGTCAAGGTCACTGTGACGTTCAGTTGTTGAGTTGTCTGCTTTGTTCGAATACCTGTGGGTCCTTTTTTATATTTTTTGCATGACTGGTTAAGTGATTTTGATGTATATGTAGCAGGGCGTGGAGTCATCCCACAGATGACATCCTTACCTTGTCAGCTTGCTGATGGGGTTAACCTCTTTGGTCATGTGGACAAGGCGTCCGACCTCTGATCAGAAGGTCCGTGGTTCGAATCCCATCACGGGACTCGGAAATTTTATGGCCGCTACATTGGCGCCCAACGTGGGGCTGAGCACGTTCATATTAAATTTGAGCAAAATAAGCCTCAGTACCCTACTATGCGGCCCGGGACGTGCCTTCTGTTGACGGGGGAGTATGTAGCAGGGCGTGGAGTCATCCCACAGATGACATCCTTACCTTGTCAGCTTGCTGACGGGGTTAACCTCTTTGGTCATGTGGACAAGGCGTCCGACCTCTGATCAGAAGGTCCGTGGTTTGAATCCCATCACGGGACTCGGAAATTTTATGGCCGCTACATATACTACTCAAAACAAGTTAAGGAACACACAATTGGAAGGCTGTGGTGAATACACACCAGGTTAGCTGTAGTCATATGAATTAATCTAGTGTTCTTTACTTCTTTTGAGAAGTATATATACTTGTATGGCAGCTGATGGCCAGTTGCCTCACCAGTATCAGTATTGGACCTACTGTGCATGGGGGGCACGGGTGGCCCAGTCGTCTAAGGCGCCGTGATTCGCTGTGCAGAGTTGCGTCCCTTGGGCACGCCAGAAACCTATGATTGTGGGTTCGAATCCCGGTTCGCCTGATTATTTTTCTAGGTTTGTCAGCACCATACCCGTGCTTGTGGGTTTCACCGAAGTGGTAAACGTATGAAACCTGCATCCCTTCGAGCTTTCCTCCCACATTAAGCTGACACGCCGCGATACGACTGGGATACTGTTAAAAGCGGCGTTAAACCCAACTCTCTCACTCACTCACCTACTGTGCATGAGACACAATTGCAGAAGGTTTCACTAAAACTATATGGACCTTTGCTTTTTACATCAAATGTTTGTGCCAATGTTAAAAGTCAAGGTCATATTCAAGGTTATAATATTATAATGTCTTGTATGTAGAACAAATTTATTTAAAAGTATTCAAGTTAAACAATTTGTTCTTTGGACAAGTCTTCCTTAATAAAGAAATATGAATATATATGTGAATCATTATTGAAAAAAGTCAATGTCACAATGAAGGCCTCACAAAATTACATCTAGTACTTACTACTAAATGACTTTATCCTGCGTATCCAAACCATTGGCTAATTACGCCCGTAACCTAATCACCCCTTGTAACTGAATCACCCCCGGGTCAACACCCTGCACCGTGCCCGGGGCAATAGATCCCACGCAAGCGTCATCCCTCCTTTGTTACATCAGAGACCATGTAATAGATAATCTATTATATGGTCTCTGGTTACATCCTATAGTCCATCATTCGCGCACCATCTCTCTTCAAGTACACACGTGTTTCGCTGTATCTAATCGCATTTTGGTATACCCAACTAGCAGCTTAGTAGCCCACTAGTACCTGCACACCCTCGGCCATTTAATCCAGTCTCTTCTTCTGTTTTATTATAGGCACGGGCATCCACAGCTCGGTGGCCCGTGCCTCTCCTTGGCATATCGCGGGATAATTATATTTTTACACATGTCTTCAGCATGTTATGTGTTAGACATTAATGATGTACTTAGTTCATGATAGTAATGATTATTCTAATTTTCTTACCCAAACTACCAGGCAGGAGAAAGAAATAGACCAAAAAATAACAAATGTTATCAAAACATAACTAGGCTGAAAACAGTCACTGAAACCTTGCAAACTTAAGGTCTAAAACGGAATTATGATACCGTATCAAATACATCACCATCGAATAATATTTCTTCTGTTTCAGTTTTTGCCACCATCAGATATAGGTGTAAATACAAGAAGACTTTAGTAATTTAATTATCACTTGAATATTCAACAGGTTCCGATGACATTCAAGAAAATTGGTATCCTTGAAGCGGAAAATGGAATCTGGGTGAAGATGCTTCAGCGACATAAGTAAACTGCTAAGTGAATCTTTAAAAAGTCATTGATGCAACGCCTCCCATACTTATGTTTCATCAATGTGGGTCAGACTTTAGTTGTAGCAACTGCTTTAGTTCCAAGGGGGAATAACGCTTCACCAAAATGATCGTAGTCACTCCAGCTTGAGAACTGTGTAAGAATCTACACAGAAACGTTGCTATATGCAATAAGCCAGAGGTTGTTATCCATAAAGTTGTGTTTTCTTATTTACTCACCGACTTCTAGAATACCAATCAAACATGTACTTACGTTACCGACATCAAATTCTTTATGCACTGTTACACGCACATACACTGATATGAGACACAAATAATAACCTAAATATTATAGTCATGAGATTAACAATCTTTTCTGGAATTTATACTAAATACACATTCAATCAATTTTATCACCTCTTCTCCAGAACACACCTTTGATTTTTATTATCTCGTTAAGCTAACAGTTCATCTCATTGTGGGGGCACGGGTGGCCCAGTCATCTAAGGCGCCGCGATTCACTGTGCAGAATTGTGTGCCTTGGGCATACCAGAAACCTATGATTGTGGGTTCGAATCCCGGTTCGCCCTGATTATGTTTCTAGGTTTGTCAGCACCATACCCATGCTCGTGGGTTTCGTGGTAAACGTCTGAGACCTGCATCACTCTGGGCTTTCCTCCCACATTAAGCTGACACGCCATGATATAATTCACTGACAGGAAATGACTTTATCTAGTAACGTTTTATATTAAGAATTACAGTTTCGTAGATATTTCAACTATGAGAGACAGCATCTGAAGCAAACAATGAACCCCTAAAAGATTAGTGTGTATGACACACAAGAACATACAGCAAACTACGGTTATAACAAACACGCTTAATATAACGAACTGACGGATATAACAAACTTACTTTTTTGTCTCGACTATTTGCTGTAGTTATGCTGTATATATGCATATAACGAACCATGGCTACAACAAACTGAAATTAGTGGTCCCTTTGAGTTCGTTATAACCGTAGTTTACTATTGTAATAGGCATATTTTGATAAGTGATTGTTTTTTTCCTCATGCCTTCTGGTATTTTTAAGATTAAAAACCAGTAAAACAAGTAATTATATTGGTCTGGCCTAAAGCCAAAAAAATATATACAGAACAAAAAGCTGAGGGTTGGGGGATATTTTTATGAAATTGTGTGCTCTGTCTTCACTGCAACAAAATATCCCCAAAGTATTCATGATCCCGAACCTTTTTAGTCCCTTAGTTATACAGTTTGACTATTGTCTCTCACCGCCTCCGTGGTCTAGTGGTAGAGCATCCGCCCGGAGAGCGGAAGGTCCGGGGTTCGATCCCCGACCGCGTCATACCAAAAGACGTTAAAAGATGGTACTTGTTGTTACCCTGTCTGGCGCTCGGCATTAAGGGGCTAAAACAAGGACTGGTCGGCTCGGAGTCAGTATACTGTGTCTGAGTGGGGTATTCATGTTAAACTGCGGCATGGCATCTCAGTGAGCTAGCACTATAAATCGGCATCAGTCCGGACTAGTACAAGCAGCCACACAAACAAACACGTGCATGCACGTCGCTATATAAGTGCAATAATCTTGGACGCGACGTTAAACCCCATTTCACCTCACCTATTGTCTCTCAGGGTCACACAGAAAAGAGAATATGTTGGTTTGTTATTGTTTACAACAGGGCGTATTTAGTTTGGCCAAACCTCATTTTAAATACATATTAGAAACCTTTTGTTTTCTCATGGCTACGGCTTTGTATGATTAAACCAAACAGTGGGTGATGTTAAACTCTTTTTGAAACAATTTCGTGAACAATCTATAAATATGTTTTATCAGGAATGGCATTCCACTCTAGAAAACAGTTCAAGGTATGACTTGTATAGAATTTTTAAGAGTCTTATTCAACCAGAAAAATACTTATCTACATTAACATCAAGAACCCTTTATTCAATTTAGGCTCGGATTGTTAGATATCATGATAAATAAAGGAAGAAAAATGTCCATTGAAAAGTCGAAGAGGCTGTGCCCATTATGTCATTCAGCTATAGAAAATGAAATTCATTTTACTTTTGTCTGTCCTTATTATTGTGATCTAAGAAACAAGATTATACCAGAACATTATCTGTCAAATTATCCTGTACCTGCTTTAATTTCTCTTCTTTCTTCAAAAGATGATGCTGTCATATTAAAACTGGCTATACATGTATATGTTAAAAATGCAATTTCCTTCAGAAACAAATTGTTAAACATGAGTATACCGTATTCGACGTAATAAGCGCCCAGGGCGCTCTCAAAATTAGAAATAGGGGGCTCTTATTAGAATATTATTTTGGTGGAAAAAACAGAGTTGAAAGATAAATTTCGTGGTTTATGCTGATTCCAGAATTTAATTGCCCATAATTAAGGGTGCATATAACACACGAGTGCGTATTATACACGAATAAATAAGTCTTGTTTACTTTGATCAATCGGAAGGGGTGCTAATTGGGATTGTTCACTTGCCAATATATTAGCAAAAATTGCCGTGGGCGCTTATTAGAGCGGGGCGCTTATTACGTCGAATATGGTATATCCAAATATGTAAAACTACTTAATTGTAACTCTCTTGTATATGGGCCAGAGGCCTTACATGCAATAAATATCTTTGACTTTGAATACCCAAGGCTTGCCATACATGTCTTCCACTTGCTCTACAGAAAATCTTATTTTGGGGGGCCCAATTGGCAATTTGCAGTCATAGTTGAATTCAAGTCATTTTCAAAATTCACTTTGTTGACTTAATTTTTATTATATGTGTACATCAGAGGTGGATCCAGGATTTTAAAACAGGCTGCATATAATCCCCAAGTCACAAGAGGCTTGCTTGGCTGAAGGGGCAATTAATATGTAAGGTGTCTGAAACATACAGGGACAGTGAGCTACCCCTGCAACCTGCTGGATTTGCCAGTGTGATATATTGGAGTGAAGTACCAAATTACTCCCTGACAGATTATGACATTCATACTTGACACACATGGTCGGAACCAGACCAACCTGTGAAGATCTGGAAAGAATAGGTCTTCAGCAACCCATGCTTGCCGTAAAAGGCGACTATGCTTGCTGTAAGAGGCGACTAATGGGATCGGGTGGTCAGGCTTGCTGACATGGTTGATGCATGTCATCGATCCCAATTGCGTGGATCGATGCTCATGATGTCAATCACTGGATTGTCTGGTCCAGACTCAATTATTTACAGACCACCGTCATATAGCTGTAATATTGCTGAGTGCGGTGTTAAACAACAACAAACAAACAAAATGAACCAGACCAGAGAATGGTCCTTCTTGAAGTTGATGACCTCAGTTTGTTTGTTGTTTAATGCCACACTCAGCAATAGTACAGATATATGACGTCAGTCTGAATCTGACAATCCAGTGATTGACATCATGAGGGCTCAGGTAATTGGGACAGGATGACATGCATCAACCAAGTCAGCAAGACGGACCACCCTTTAGTGGCATCTTACAACTAGCAGGAGTTGATGAAGACTAATTCTTACCCAGATCTTCACGGGTTCATCAATTGTGAGTAAGTGAGGCAAAAGTTGGCCGCAGGGGGCGGTTGGGTAGCAGAGTGGTTAAAGCGTTTGTTTGACAGGCAGAAGGCACAGGTTCGACTCCACACATGGAAACATTGTGTGAAGCCATTCCTGGTGTCCCCTGCCATAATATTGCTGGAATATTGCTAACAGAGGCGAAAAATCATACTCCCTCACTCACAATATCTGGGTTGTCACAGAGTGACAGAAAGCATGATGAACTATCCTTACTATCCACACATTGGGGTGGTTAAAGCGTTCGTTCGTCACGCCGAAGACCCGGGTTCGATTCCCGACATGGATACAATGTGTGAAGCCCATTTCTGGTGTCCCCTGCCGTGATATTGCTGGAATATTGCTAAAAGCAGAGTAAAACCATACTCACTCACTATCCACACACTACATATGTATGACAATCATGGACCACATCAGGAGTCTGATGAAGGCCTTTCACGACCAGCAATGGGGTGCTGGGTACCTTCTTATCAGGGTATCAAGTGGAACCAAGTTGACCAAGCAGAACAATGGCAGCAAGACCCAACGGCCGGAAACGGCTGCTGGATTCGTCTAATAAAGTGAGTGAGTGAGTTGGGTTTAACGCCGCTTTTAACAGTATTCCAGTTATATCACGGCGTCCGCTTAATAAACCCCAGCGCATATGCAGCAACTACTTCTCCGAACAAGCCTTACAATTAATCGTATTAAACTTTCCGAAATGCACAATGATAGAATTTCTAAGAAAGCCTATGATATGTTTATGTAGAATAGGTCTTCAGCAACCCATGCTTGCCATAAAAGGCGACAAACGGGATCGGGTGGTCAGGCTCGCTGACTTGGTTGATGCATGTCATCGATCCCAATTGCGTGGATCGATGCTCATGATATTAATCACTGGATTGCCTGGTCCAGACTTGATTATTTTCAGACCGCTGTCATATAGCTGGAATATTGCTGTGTGCGGCATTAAACAACAAACAAACAAATGATAATTCTTGATACCAAACCCATGCCATCTACAGTACACACTTTGTTTTCACAAGCATTTGTATGGATTTTTCAGTGTGTTGGAAATACGTTTTTGTTCTTGGACTGTATAAAAATGTTGCAATAGATATGTATCACCAATCATGGAATTGTATTATAGAACATAGTTCAAGATATAACATATATAAAGAGTTTTAAAGCCCAATCAAACCTGAGAAGTACCTCACCCATTTAAGAGATAGAAAACAAGGTCACACGCTGATTAGACTGAGAACGGGGTTGTTAAGGTTGAAAGTTAACGAAGGGAGATGGTCGGGGATTGATTTATGTTTACATTTGTCTTCTCCATCCAACAGCCGTCATGTGGTGTCCTAGATCCGCATGACAACGACAGGCCTCATACAGAACTTCCTTGCAGCCAGCGACGTCAACGTGTTGCCCTGGCCTGCATGCTCCACAGACATGTCACCCATAGAACACTTCTGGGATGTCATGGATCGTCTCGTTTGACAGCGACCACATCCTCCAGCCAACCGACAAGAACCGATCCAAGCCCTCAAAGCAGAATGTCGACTAATCCCACGTGACGTCATGAGACGAACGATTTTTTTATGTGCGCCGGAGAGTTTTTGCGTGTCTTGTAACAGGGGGCGGTCATACACGCTATTAATGTGACGCATCATTGAAGACAAATGTAGAAATGGTAGGACAATCAGACGAAGAATGTCATCCATGTAACGCTATCAGATTTCCGTTTACGATGACAGTGTCCACAAATCCTCCCCTCACCATAACACCCCATTTACCATACGGCACCTGAAAGCAACATGCTGCCATTCGTTCTCCCCTTCGGCGGTAAACACGCTGTCTTCCATCATCTCTTAACAGAGAGAACCGGGTTTCATCAGTGAAGACGACATTCTGTAACGACGTACTGTACTGGCCCATCTCAATCTCTGACGTCGAAATGGCGCTGTCAAGAACTGTCCTCTGTAGGGT